CAGAGTGGAGTTGCTCAGAGGTTCCATTCACAGTGTTGACATAATGGAGTTGCTCAGAGGTTCGATTCACAGTGTTGACTGAGTGGAGTTGCTTAGAGGTTCCATTCACTGTGCTGACCGAGTTAAGCTGCGCAAAAGTTCCTTTCAAAAAAAAAAAAAAAAAAAGATGTATGGAGCTAACTAAGAAGTTCCAGGCACAGTGTTGAGTAAAGTCGTTCAAGGGTTCTATTCACATTGTTGAGTTGTGGATTATTAGGACTATAAATGGAAAAGTCTACTTCCTCCTCAATCCTTTAGTAACTGATCAGTTGTCTTGCCTTCTTAAATAATTACATGACTTTTATAATAATTTAAAAAAAAAGTAAGATTTCTTTTTCCACCGCTTTACATAAAGGGCATGTAGGGATAGACCTATATTCTTTAGACCAACTGGCACAAGAAGGGTGGTGTAGTTAGCATCACGCCGGCCGTCTTTACTTCCCGGTACCCACTCAAAGCTAGTTCGACCTGGGAGTCTAGGTAATTTTTGAAAAAAGTCAGCCAGGGAGCGAACCCACGACCTTCCTATCCCAACGCGAGCGTCTAGCCGCTACGCCACTGCAACTCCCTCTTTATCATAAGTATAAGGTTGAATCTAATTGGGATGTTTGTGAATTATGAAACTGCATTCATAATCTATAAACTGCAGATGCCGAATATTGTATACGTGTGAGTTTTGTAGGGCCACTGACTGCTTACAAGCATGTTGCAAAAGTCGATTAAATTAGAGATGTTTCCGTTAAAGTCTAAGTGCATTTGTCTAAGAAGTAAGGAACCAAGTCTGCATACAAATAAGCCAGATCTGTAAAACGACTGTGCACGAGAAACTAAGGTTCTTGTAAGGGACTAGTGTCCAGAAGTGGAGGAACTATCAGAACTTTCCACAAACGTTTACAGCCTCAAGGTGAACACAAGAGAAAACGAAGATCAACTCTAAGCCACTAACACCGAATATTGGATGAATCATAGTAATACACATAGGCGAGCGCGCGCACGCACACACACATACACACATACACACACATGCACACATACACATGCACACACACACACATGCACACACATACACACACATACACACATGCACACACATACACACACATGCAAACACAGACACACACACATGCACACACATACACACATACACACACCGCGAATTGGAATGTCATGGGTTCGGGTCCTGACGGAACCGAGTTTATTTTGTTGAAACAAAAAATACATAGGCTCGCCGGTCTGCCCAGCCTTGAGTGGCTACCCGGTGTAGACCTGCAAGTCACAGCCGTTGTCATGCTAGCCATATCTCCAGCTAAGTGCCCATTGGTTTATATAATGTTAGTCTAGTCCTATAAGCCCAACACGACTGACGAGGGTCCTTTTATTTTCCCCTTTTTCTCTCTCTCTCTCTCTCTCTCTCTCTCTCTCTCTCTCTCTCTCTTCTCTTTCTCTCTTTCTCTCTCTCTCTCTTTCTCTCTCTCTCTTTCTCTCTCTCTCTCTCTCTCTCTGTGTGTGTGTGTGCGCGTGTGTGTGTGTATATATATATATATATCTATATATTGTGAGGATATATATATATATATATATATATATATATATATATATATATATATATATATATATACCAAACAAAAATGGAAATCCACAGCTTTAATGAGGCCGCTTCAGATGATTGGTCTATGCAGGTCAGGGTGTGCTGAAGAACCACTGCGATATATACCTCCTAAATCGTTCACCAAGGAACAGCGCATGGAACAGTGGGAATATGTGAACAGTATCTACTTTGGGCCTGAGCGGGACATGAAAAACTTCCCCAACCCGTCACAGCCAGAGAGCAGCCCAGCTGTCAGGGTAGGAATAATTCCAGCATCGTGGTTCAATTTCTTGTACCCAAAGACAGGAGTTACAGGTGAGGCGAATACCTGCTTGTTTGTAGAAATGTGATCGGTCATTCAGATGCCGTCTCCACAGTGAAGTTTGGCTGCAGCCAAATCTCCAATACGCTCTGTCTCTTGTCTTGGTTTTACTCTCTCAGACTGCTGTTCTTCCATGTGTCTACCCACTTATATCAATGTCCACCCTTTGCCTTCCTGTCTTTGACCCGCTCCTCCAGAATGATTGTAAAAGAGTGTCTTGTCGGCACATTTTTTCCCCACTTGTCTCTTCTTTATTTCTTTCAGTAATTGTCTTTTGATTCGCAGTCTGTTATAACCTCTGTATTTGATTTTTTTCCCCCATGAAATACGACCTACTCTTCTGTATATCCACATTTCTAGATTCTAGCTTCTATTTGCCTGTTCGTTGTCCAAGTTTCTGCACCACACAGCATGGCTGAGTATACATAACATTTGACGATTCTCATTTTTAATGTGCTGTTGATCTTTTTTTTTTTTAAGTATCCAGAAACCATGAGTTGTAAACCCTTTGGCTCGGTACTATGGATATCGCAACCCTTCGGCCTTGATTCCATGATAAGTATCGTAAATCTGAGAGAAATATGGCTTTTCTGCCTACACCCGGGCGTGAACCCGGACCACAAGGAGTTCGTCATCCGGTCGCCGCGCAGAGGGTGTTAACCAACTGCGCTAACGAGAAGATAATCTAACAACTCTTTTTCAGTAATTTGCACATCTTACTGAAGAAATGTGAGCACGCCTGCAAACCTGGAATCTGCTACATTTAGTGCAGTGGTCAGTCTAACTTCCCGTCCTTTTCAGGATTATATTTTTTTGTTATTTGAAGCCCTACTCTGGCTCTTGCTGGGGGCCGCAATATAGCCTGGCCATAAATAATGCCTAAAGACTGAACGGGGTTTCTGGGACCTCTCCACGATGATCCTAACCCACATGGTGGCACATTGTGTCATCGGGTTTTCATGGCTTGTGTGATGTCTTGGTGTGGTAGAAAGTCAGTCAGTCAAGTGCAGTGGTTAGCGCGTTTGACTGCTAGTATTTTTTTGAATCCCACCAATAGAGGCAGTCGGCGATTACAGCAAAAACGAATTCACCTGGAATCGCAGATCAACTCAGCTTATGTAAAGTAACATTATCCTGTTCCCGCCTTTGGTGAATCATGCATGCAGTGCTGTTTTGTAGACCAATCGACAGTTTATGAGTAGTGCAGTTTAACATCATACTCATTTCCCTTACTTCCCAGGACATTGCCACTTAGTTTAGGCTGTTTCAACTAGGGAACCAAGGTCAGTTTAAAAAAAAAAATCCCCAGTCGATGCGGATTCAATCCCAAAATCTTTGTCCTGGCAGGCAGAACGTCTAGACACTACTTTGCCATGTTTCCTCCAGCCCAAAGTTGGTACCATAGTCCTTTCTGAAAGTGGTGCCAATTTTTTTTTAATTTGTAACTCAGTAACAGTTCAGTGTAAATTGCTGAAATTTGGCATGCAGTCTGTAAAAAATCATGTTTATAATCATTTTAATAATCATGGTAATAATCATGTTAATAATCATGACCTTGTAGGCAAATAACTAAATGTATGCGAACTAGGGCTGTACCGAATAGTGATTTTCACTATTCGGCCGAATACGAATAGTGGGACCAACTATTCTCCCGAATACGAATACGAATAGTGTATCATCATCATCAGATGCCTTGCCGACTGGCGTGGGCGATCATGCCTCCTTACAATCTGCGATCTCCTGCAGCATGTATAAATTCGTGTGCTGACACACCTCCATGCCATGCAACAAGACTGTCAAGAATCTTCTATCGTTGTCTTCCTCTATCCCTCCTTCCACAGATCTTTTCCAGTGGTCATCAAATGTTCAATTTTCCCTCTTCTCATAACATGGCTGAAAAATGACGACTATCTCCTTCTGGTGTCTGTGATTAGTTGTCTTCGGGCTCCCGCCTCTTTCAAAACCATCGTTCGCTCGGCCGTTCATTCGATGTAATTCAAACGCACATTCATATTCTCGTTAGCAATATCTTCAAATTTGATTTGGGCGAAGACACCCTGAAAGAACGAAAAATGCATGATCTCTCTCTCTCTTTCTCTCTCTTTCTCTCTCTCTCTCTCTCTCTCTCTCTCTCTCTCTCTCTCTCCCTCTCTCTCTCTCTCTCTCTCTCTCTCACTCTCACACACACACACACACACGCAAAAATACACACTGCGGTTGGCATTTCATGCAGTTTGTACCACGCAATCGGGTCGCAGTTTCCTCCACTCGACAGACTTAGGCAACAGCAACTATTGTGTTGATGAGAGAGTTATTTCAGTCCATCACAGCAGAAACGGGAGTAAGGTAACCACTATTCGTATTCGGCCCGCCGCAACTATTCGGCCGAATACCGAATAGTTATTAGGTACACTATTCGGCCCGAAGCGAATATTCGGTACAGCCCTAATGCGAACATTTAATTTTTACTTTGCCTTTTTGTGGTATTTGACGAAAACGAACATTTATTTCAAGCATAGTTAGCATGTTTACAGTATGTGGATTGACGCGAACGTGGCAGCACATCAAATTGCCTGCGTTTTGGAGGTAATCATGGGGAAAAATTACAGGTGCTTATTTTGAATAATGACGTGTATACGTCATATAGTGCCATAATGCTTGTTGACAGGCTCATTGAAAACAAACGATGTTTGCCAGTTACTAAAAATTGTTGTTTAAAGCGGTTCTCAAATTATTAGTGAGACAAACATCAAAGAAATTTGCCACTGTAAGAAAACAGCAGCACCTGTGCAATTGTAAATTATGAAATCATAAGAACATTCAAAGTCTAAGATAACCTGCAAGAATTCGTATGAATCCGTAAAAGAATTGTCGAAATATGTGCTAAAATTTAAAGGTACGACTTTTAGAACGGTCTTTAATAATTGTTATCAGAACTAAAGTTCCCTTATGTGGCGACGACTAATTATGAGTCTTTCCTTCAGAGTCGGTGTGCATCTGCCTAAGAGGCAAGGAGCCAAAAGTCTGCAGACTATTAAGCCAGATGTGCAAAACCGATGTGCACGCAAAACTGAAGTTTGCGAACGCGCTTCCTAATTCTGGTTCTCGGTTCGATTCCAGCTGCAGGCTTTCAGGGGGTAGTGGCAGACTTTTGACTGTAAAATTGTCTAATATAACCAAAACATGAAAGAAACGAACTATTTCCAAATGTGTAATAAAAAGTCGATGGTGTTATTTTGGGACAAGTACAGAAATTTAAGTATCTGGGCACATGGATAACATCAGATGGAAAGATGCATAACTGAGATAAGAAACATAATAGGACAGGCAAAAACTGCATTTTATAAAATAAAGAACACCTTGTGCAATATATACTTGTCATTGAGAGTTAGAAAAAAAAGAATTATGGCTTGCTACATACATGCAGTTTTAACATATGGCTGTGAATCCTGGACAATCAGCAGGCAGGCCAAACAATTTCTTAAGACCTTAGAGATGTGGTATTACGACAGAATGCTTAGAATACCTTGGATAGCCAAAAAGAGCCACCAAGAGGTTTTGAAAGAGGCCGGAGCCCGAAGACAATTTATCACAGACAACAGAAGGAGACAGTCATAATTTTTCGGCCATGTTATTAGAAGAGGGAAAATAGAACATGTTGTGACCACTGGGAAGATCTGTGGAAGGAGGGATAGAGGAAGACAACGAGAGAAGATGCTTGACAGTCTTGTTGCATGGCATGGAGGTGTGTCGGCACACGAACTGATACTTGCTGCATGAGATCACAGATTGTGGAGAGGCATGATCGCTCACACCAGTCAGCAAGGTACCTGATGATGATAACCAAAGCAGACAACAAATGCTGGCTACTAACTGAAAGAGTTTTAGTTAGCTATTTACGGCCTTCTGTAGCCATTTCCTACATGTCCACAGGGCCTTTTGCGCTTGGTGGAGGCTTGGCGCTTTTTATGTTGTCCAAAGAGATCATGGTCATTGACCATTACTTCTGGGAAATACCTTCCTTTTGGGGCGCCGTGTGGTTTGTTAACCATAAATTTGGGCACCAGATTCGAAATTATTTTGACAGCCAACTGAAGGTTGGTATCTTTTAATGCAGGTTGTGTATGGTGAGTGAGTAGCAACAACTTAATTCACAATTTATTTAAATCGACACTTTAGGGTTCTGTGTAGATTGCACACCGGACGCAACAAAATGGTCGCTGGAATTTTCAAGTCTCGAATTGTTCACAAAGTCCTATACTTGTGCTGTCTGCCATCAGTGTAATTTGTTTTATTTCTGATGAGATTATGACTGCAAGAAGATTGTAGAGCTTTTATTGGACTGCATCAGAGCTGTGTTTGTCTTATTGCCATCAAAAATAGTAGCAGAGAAACTCCTAAATGTCATATTTCACAACCTATGGTATTCCTGACAGGGCGGTACTTCAGGTACTAAAATCTGGAAAATTACCTGGTATATGGAAACTAACCTCTGAACTGGGAAAACCGGTATAAGATAGCTAGGCAGTGGATACCATCCCACTGTGGAGTTATGGAAATTAAAGATCTGGTAAACTAGCTAAGGAAGGCGCCAATGAACAACCTGACTTACCAGTCTTTTATCAACTGAAGAAGAAAAAATGAGATCAATTAGAAAGCCACAAAACCCGGCAAAAGACGATTACATATAACGGACAGACCAGAGCAAGTCATTACTTTGCGCCTTAAAACAGGAAACAATCGACTTCTCAGCCCCATGTACACACAATATAAGATTGGCGAATAAGCCATGTGTACAAGCGAATTAGCACCTGAGACAACAGATCAAGTCCTCCAAGACTGTCTCAAATGCAGCATATCAAGGCAAAACTTTTAGCCAAGAGAAACACCGATGCAAGCCAAACTTTATTGGTCGCTGATTAAATTACAACATAGGGCAAAGTTCATTATATAGACAATACCGCAGCTATGGATAATCTACTTCGAGCGAACGAACGAAAGAGAAGGAGGAGGAGGAGGAGGAGAAGAAGAAGAAGAAGAAGAAGAAGAAGAAAGATGGCGGAGAGATAATACAGACACATAACTAAAAACAAAAACAAAAAAAGACACAAAAGTCACCGAATATAAAGAGAAGACCAATCAAAGAGATGAAACTGAGGCGGGTGATGCAGGAATGAAACTAAACCGCTTGAATGCTGAAGAAGACGATTTTGTATACTTGATCCTGGCTGCAGTGTGCATTCAGCCTAAAGTGGCTTTCTAGAAATCTGGGCAAGCAGTTTCGCGATGCTGCTAATCACAGTACCCATGAGGCGCCAGATGTACAGAGAAAGAAACCGAACACCCAATATAAGCATGATTAGCCACTGGTGGGAAAAAGGCTAGAACCAATGAGTGTGCCAGTTGTTCCGGGAAACACACCGGATAACCAACACATGCCTTATTAGTCACTGACGTGAAAAGGGCTGGTTAAAAACATTTTGTTCCTAATATTAATACTACTAGCTTTGTCCCCAAGTGGGATGCAATTATAAGTTATTTTGAAGTCCCACCCTAGCTTTTGCCGGGGGCCCTAAATATAGTTGGGCCTTAAATATGGCCATAACGGCTGAACGGGGTTTCCGGGACCTCTCCACGGGTGATCCTCATCCGATTGGTAGCATTTGTGTCACCAGGTGTTTATCGCTTGTGTAATGTCCTGGTGGAGTACAGCTTAGCTACCTACCTTACATTTTTTCTTTTACCTTGAATATTATTCATTTGATTTCAGTTTATATTCTTTACGAATGGTGATTTGTGAGAGACATATTAATGCTTACGCAAAGGCGTTACTGACAGATATGTCTGTAAATGATTTGGAAGGCAAATGTTAATGTTTAAAAAAAAAAAGCTGAATGTGGGACATGAATGATACAGGTATTGAAGTGAACTCGTGAGAACAAAATGTCATGGACCGTGCTCTGTGCACTTGGCACATCAGTAAGGGAATGAACATGAAGGAAGAAGTTACTGCGAGAAGATGAGAGCTCAGCGTCTGAGAAGAAACAGACTAAACACACATGTTGACAGAAACAGTTATGAAATCCCATGCTATAACTGTGGAAGACTTTGTTTAACACGGGCGGGTCTTGCTAGTCCCACTCGCCATCGCCATGTGCTGTGAGTCCTATGCCGCCTCCTCATAGCGCATTATAACACTGTCTCTGGAATGACGGAAAGGTGCCAAGATATGAGGTCTGTATATATGTACAGTTTTTTTTTATTTTGAATGCATATTTGGCAACATCTGTTCATATATGCTAAACTGTCGGGAACCTGAAAGACAAATATCTGTGTTTAGAGACAGTTGTTTATATATGGAAAACTGTTAGCAATCTTAAAGACAAATATCTGTGTTTAGATAAAGTTGTTTATATATGGTAAACTGTTGGTAATTTTAAAGACAAATATCTGTGTTTAGAGACAGTTGTTTATATATGGTAAACTGTTGGTAATTTTGAAGACAGACACATGTGTTTAGAGACAGTTGTTTATATATGGTAAACTGTTGGTAATTTTGAAGACAGACATCTGTGTTTAGAGACAGTTGTTTATATATGGTAAACTGTTGGTAATTTTAAAGATAAATATCTGTGTTTAGAGACAGTTGTTTATATATGGTAAACTGTTGGTAATTTTAAAGACAAATATCTGCGTTTAGAGACAGTTGTTTATATATGGTAAACTGTTGGTAATTTTAAAGACAAATATCTGTGTTTAGAGACAGTTGTTTATATATGGTAAACTGTTGGTAATTTTAAAGATAAATATCTGTGTTTAGAGACAGTTGTTAATATATGGTAAACTGTTGGTAATTTTAAAGACAAATATCTGTGTTTAGAGAAAGTTGTTTATGTATGGTAAACTGTAGGTGATTTTGGAAGACAGAGTTGTTTAAAGTTAGTTGCATATCCTTTCTACGAAGCTGCAAATTCAACCCCAACATTTGTTGGCTGTTGTAGTTTTCCTAGGCATTTTCCCGTTTAGCATTTTGCTGTTGCTGACTAAACGGTCCGCTCTCCATGCCACTGTCAGAATCAATGCAAGGCGGTCTGCTACCAAATCCCCTACAGCTAAGATCGAACCTGGCTTTTGCCACGCCTAAGCCACAGACATCGTTTACATATTGTAAAATGTTGTTGATTTGGAAGACAAATGATGATGTTAAAAAAAACTGTTTATATATGACATACCATTGACTCAATGTTTCTATCCCAAACTTTGAACCATATGTGACTGGGCATTATTCACATGTGCCAGTCAACATGTTGTTATGTATTTCCGTCCTGTTTGTGGTGAGGAGCTCTGAAGAACTCTGACAACCTATTTGTTTCATGAAAGGGTTTTATATTTGGCACCCCTGGAAATAGTATACCCATGAGTTTAGTACTGACATTCGTAAATCTCTCCACAACATCGAGGTTAAGAATGGAAGTTGAGGCGGTCACTGCAGCTTTCCGCTGGCTTGAGAACACAATACTCACGCACGCGCGCACAAACACACACACACACACACAAACACACACAACGTGACTGTAACTGACTCATAAAAAATGCCAAGGAAAGTTAGGACACGCATGCTTAGTGCTGAGGGAAACGCTTAGCTTTGTAGGTCATGGATGAAGAGCATTGTCTGGATCTTTTCTCTGAGGCATGCCTACAGACTGATGGCTCTGCACAGCTTAGTGGGCTGGCTCTGCACAGCTTAGTTGAATAATGATGCATGATAAGGCAGTCGGGGTTAAGGCCTTATGCGAGCACGTGTACAAATCAGAACAGCAAACACAGTCTTGTACTAGTGATGCGGCGAACAGTGACGAGGGGATCTGGCCGATACTCGTCGCTCAGAGGAAAGGCAGGACGGACATATAATCAGATTGCTACTGACACCATTGGTATTGCAACTCTGCGCTGACCGCTAAAGATGGCAACGGAGCGCTTATGGGAATTTCCCGAGTATTGTGATGTCGGTTCTTTAATCAGCTCAACACCCTTAGACTAGCTAGGGCGTCGTGAGATGGATGAGTTAGTTGTTTGGGAAACAGCTACTGTTTACATTGCTGTATACAAATATGAAAGTCGGCTCTGTGGCTAAGTCGATGCGAACGCTTTGTAATGCCGGGATGCCGGGTTCGATCCCAGCTGCGGGGCATGCGCCTTGCGTTGATTTCGACAGTGGTATCAAGAAAGCCGACAGTCCAGAAAGCAATGGCAAACTGCTGGACGTAAATTTGCCTAGATAAACCACACAACAGCCAGGAGCTGTTGGGGTTGGTTCTGCAACGTCCTGTAAAGGATACGCAACTAACCTCTACAAATATGGAACTAGCATCATAAATAAGCCGCTCATTGTGAAATGATACTTATTGCTTTCTGCCCAACTGTAGCTCAAGAAAGAAATTATTTACTCTCGCCCAATAAATCAAATGAAAGCTAACTGCGAGGAAGCAATTCGATTTTGTGAGAAAAAGATTGAGGAGACCGAGACAGCTACACATTTATACCTGGCAAAGAAGGTAAGGTCATTGAAACAGTGAATAAGTAAAGGCCCCTTTGCCTGCCAGTGGTGCATCGGGCACTTTAGGCTAGACTCGTATTTTTATAGAATAATTTGCCCTCGATGATGTGCTCAACATCTAGAACAAACTCATTTAAGGCGGGGTCGATCTGGGAGCCGATGTCATGATCGAATTCAAAGACAAGCGTCGAATCGCTACACCACGGTGGACTTCCCATTGTAACAATAACCAGTAGAAACGATCAAGGGCTCTTTTCATGCATTTAGTGCTGGAGCCATTTTTTACAGACCAGGCGGCACTCAGTAGGTGATGCGATCACTTTTTTGACAGCGGCCTTTTACATCCCAGGTACTCGTGGAGGCGGAGCGGCTAGACGCTCGCCGCGGATTGAAAGGTCGTAGGTTCGCTCCCTGGCGTAGCGTTTTTTCCCTTAAAAAAATGACATTGGCTCCCAGGCCGACCCAGCCTTGAGTGTGTACCGGGTACAGACCCAGGAAGTAAAGGCGGCATCACCTATATTGTGCCGATTGGTCTATAAAATATAGGTCTAGCCTTATATGCCCTATACGCCTAAAGGCGTGGAAAAGTGTCCTTAATTTTTTATTTTATTCTCCTATACGTCCCAGGACATTGCACTGTATCCTTCAAGGCTGGGTCAACCTACAAGCCACGGTAAACTGAACCCATTACCATACTCCGCCCCATCTGGACCAGATCCTCTCAGGTCCAGTAATACTTTACACTTGAACCGGGTTTCCGGGATTTGTCCACCTGGATCCGGATGTGAACTGCAGATCTTGAGGGCATCAGGTGAGCAGCTTGCTACGGGACTGTTGATTCGCATGGGTGCTGACATGAATTATTATGTAACCTGTGATGCTAGACCGAGGGAAGAGAAAACGTTTATGAGAGAGGCCAAAAGCGCTTGACTGCCTTACATCTACCCCCCCCCCCCCCCCCCCCCCCGGCAACTTTCTTTAGCCTGAAATACGTTGTCAAGTTTTCTAAATCAGCAATTTTGTCTCGTATAAATGCAACTGTCGTTTTAAGTTCATTTACTGGTCTATATAGGGTAGCTGTGGTGGTGCAGTGCCTAGACACTCACCTGTAGATCTGAGGGCTGTGGGTTCAAATCCGAAAGTTTCTGTAATTTTCTTCAAAAATGACCTTTGCTCTCAGGCTGACCCAGCCTTTATGAGTACAAGGTAAGGTCGTGGGAAGTAAAGGCGGTCGTCGTAATGCTGACCAATTCAATAAGTGCCATTTAGTCTATAAAATATAGGGCTAGCTCTATATGCCCAATAAGCCTGTAGGCGTGGAGAGTACCTTCTACTTAGTGGCCTGAAAAGTTTATTTTCCACGGTTGTTCTTTCTAGCCAGAAGGTTCGACTTGATCTGTCATTTTTGGTGCAATCCTGGAGTACGTGCTTTGCTGTCTGGGAGGGCTGTCCAAATCTGCAGATGGCTCATATCTTACATTTGGTGTGGCTGCGTAATCGGTTGTGCCCTTTTTTAAGGCGCCATGAAACTATGACAGCATTTCAAGTGTCTAGAAGGTTGATCTTAATAGAGTAGAGTGGAGGGGTAGACTGCAAGCCCTTTTTAATCTGTACGCTAGAAAAAGATGAGGTTTAATGATGAGGCAGCACAGAGCATATTAGTAGTAGATTTTTACCCCACCGGGACATCACACAAGCGATAAACACCCGATGACACAAAGTGCCGCCATGCGGATGAGGATCACCGTGGAGAGGTCCCAGAAACCGCGTCGAGCCATCAGACCATATTTATGGGCGGGCTATTTTGCTGTCCTAGGGTGGGGCTTCACAATAGAGAAAAATTGCATCTCACAAGGAAATGACTGGAATATGTGCACAGAGCATAACTGACTGACTTTCTACCCCACCAGGACATCACACAAGTGATGAACACCCGATGACACAAAGTGCCACCATGCGGATGAGGATCACCGTGGAGAGGTCCCAGAAACCGCGTTCAGACAATTAGCCATACTGATGGCCTGCCTATATTGCGGCCCCTGGCAAAAGCCAGAGTGGGGCTTCAAATGAGAAAACATTACGTCCTGAATAGGAGTCTGGAGTTAGGCCTTCGTGTTATAGTCACTGCCTTGTGGCGTTAGTAGTCATATCTGTCCCAAATCGTCTGTCTCCTGTACTTCCAATCAACGAGATGATCTGCAAAGCCATGATGTCAGACTGTCTAGAATCTTCTCTCTCCTTCCCTTCAACTTTCCTACCGTCACTATATACTTCAGTTTTCTCTTTCTCGTGACATGAAACAAGAATGTTGATTGTCTCCCTTTGATGTGGGCAGTCAGTTCTCTTCGTGAGTCGGTTTCTTTCAAGACATATTCATTACTCTTTTTATCTGCCCATCGTGTTTTCGCTTGTCGTCTATAACACTACATCTGCATCGCTTCCTCTGGATTTTTCACTAATCGGCCAACTATCCATGGTTCACTTTTGTGTAACAGGATGTGATTTATATTGAATTTGATAATTCTCCTTCTCACCTCAATTCAACAGAATGTTGAATTAAGAATCGACTTTACAGCACTCAGAGCACTCACTTAAACGCTCCGTCACCATCTTTAGCAGCAAGCGAAGAGTTCCAATTCCGATGGTACCAGATCAGTAACTATCTGTATATAATAAACACGTTGTGAAAAGTGACTAATTAAGGATGCGCTGAAATCGTAAGACCATCGGAAAACACACATTCACTGAAGTTATGAAGCAACAACGAGAAGGATTTTATGTTTGGGGGTCACCACAACATGAGGAACTGTATAAAAGGGTCGCGGCATTGGAAAGGTTGAGAGCCACTGCAATAGAAAAAGAACTTTCCCAAATATCTTGTCAAGTTTGTTTGTCCATGCACTTTGCAGGAGAACGTGGAGCTTCAGTTGGAGGCTGCCTATCGTCAGAGACTGCTCGCAGCTTACCAGGAAGTCAAGAAGAGGCTGGTCAGTGTGTTTCATTGCTGTCTTTCTTTCTCTCATTTTTTTCCCCCAATGTTTCCGCTTATTTTCGTCTTTTCATTATTTTTTCCGGTTTCTTGTTTACCTTTCTTCTTGCTTACCATCTGTTCTAGACACAGTATGACCTGCATTGTCTAGCATTATCACATGTTTGGGTAGGCGAACTCCCGCCCTTTCTCTCTTTCTTTTCTCTGTATACTAAGGTAGAACTTGTGGTCGCCTCTGACATTTGAAGAGCTGCCATGGGTCCTGTTTATGTTGATTTATGATGTTAAAAGAAAAAAAAAAGTATAAATTATAATTTACACATATTAAATCTTTTTAAAAGAAGTTGCATTCGAAATTTTTTTTTTTTTTAAATCATTACACGGAACTTTAACTATGGTAAAGCACCTGTAAATGAGTTAAGTAAAAATCTTGAGTTGATGCATTTTTCCTGTGGTAACTCACGGTTGTGAGTCCTGTACTCTCACTCCATCACTGAAGGGAAAGATTGAAACTTTTGAATTAAAGTGTTACAGAAAAGTTCTTAGAATACCATGGACCCAGAAGAGAAAAAACATCGACAATCGACACGAGTTAAACGTCAAAAAGAACTGGCTAAAAAAAAAAAAAAAAACAGCGTCCTGTCCCGAAAGTTGAAGTATGTTGGCCACATCAGACGTCATTGTGGCTGTGTTAGAGGGTGCGGTTTGTGGAACGCGAGGCTGGGGTCGACCTCCGTAAAGATGGTTACAGGACATAGAAGAAGTATTAGCATTGAAGGCACATGGACCTGGAGAGCTGGCTAGGGAGAGGGATACTTTCAGGCATGCCGTGAGGAGAGCAACGTTCTGTAAAGGATTTGCTGATTGATGAGAGGTAACACGGAGCATTTAAATTGGTTCCGACCACCACCCAGCAACAACAACAACAACAACAACAACGGTTTTTATAGGCAATCATCCGTCTCCAGACATCTTGATCCATTATTTTCTGGATCATTTACGTTAATGATGTTCCTTTACACCTGTATTGTTTACTGTACCAAAAAACGAAATGATCATCGTCATCTATCGTACTGAGGATTCTTGTTTGCTTTTGTGTCCTTTATCCCCCGATAGAAAGTAGAGTTGCCTTAGGAACTATAGTGTCTGATTCTCAGTCAGTACTGCGGAAGGTTCCAAATAAACAAATGTGGCACTAATGGACACAAAAGCGATAGCTATAAGAGCACTCGCACTGGGTAAAGGAGACATTCTGAAGACCATTCATGAACGAATGCTGTTTGAAGGTATGAGGTTGAGGTTGAATGAAGTAACATGTGTCAAAAATATGTGAACGTGGATGTTAGTTGTAAATCCGACAAGAAGTGACGTCTGGGAGGAAGAGAACGACGTGTAAATAATTAGTTCAAACAATATTTCACACAACAACTATGGATTAACTGCCATGTTTTTTGAAGTCCCAGGAGTCATCTCATGATTGATTTATTTGATTTGATTCAAGAACCGGCATAGCAGCACTTGGGGCATTTCAATAAGCACTCCGTCCCCATCTTCAGCAGCCAGCGAAGAGTTCCGATACTAATGGTGCCAGTAGCATTCTGATTAAACGTCCGTCTTGCCTTTCCTCTGAGCCTCGAGCATCTGCCAGAACCTCTCGTCGCTCCCCGCTGCATCAATCTCACCAGACTATGGTGATCCAGCTGCTCCTCCGAACTGTACACGCTCTCCCACAAGGCACTAACCACGTCTGCCTTATCATGTATCAGTATTCCACCAAGTTGTGCAGAGCCAGCCAGTCTGTCACCCTGTTCATTTCCAAACACACAGGCGTGACCCGGTGAAAAAAATTCAGACAATACTCTTCCCCGTGTCCTCCGCAGCGAAGCATGTCACTCTGCACGAAGCATACCTATCCTGATCTTCCTCGTCATTCTTTCTGTCAGTTACAATCACGATGTGTGTGTGTGTGTGTCGTTTTCTCTAGCCAGCGGAAAGCTGCAGTGACCGCCTCCACCTCCATTCTTAAGCTGGATGTTGTGGTATCATATGCTAGGCTCTCCTCGACCATGAACTTTTACTAAGAAGCCCCAAGCACTTCTTTTGCCTGTTGACACTGAACCGTCTGTGTAAATGATCAAATCCTCCGAGCGAGCATTATCTTGAATTATTTGCTGAATTTCCACCTCCGTGGCACCTGCTGGTCAGTCTCTGCATTCCCGGCTCAGCGTGATTATGACTCTACACAAGTCTGACTGTTCAAGTGGCACTTTGACCCACTCCTCTCCTCGCCTAATGTTCTCAAGGATGCAAACCTGTCTTATTGTGTCTTCTGCCTGAGCCATCCATGACCTCCCTCTAATTAGCCGCTGACCCTTAACTGCCCCCAGAGCTTCATGCAGAGGGTTGTCTGTGTCTGCAGGTACCCTGAGATATGACTTCGCCTGCAGCACCTTGTGCCTACCTGCAACCGTCGGCAAACCAAGAATGTATCGCCACTGTGGTGTCTCTGGTGCAACCCAGATTGACCCGCATAGCAGCGTTCTGTATGCGCTCTAGTTTGTCCATCTGACTCTTTGAGATGGTAAGCATTCCCAGGCCATAATCAACCAATGGCAGGATCAGGTGCTGATATAGTGTGAAAAGCATTCTCTGCTTTATGTCAATTGCAGCCATAGTCTTAAGTGTACTAACTCCTTTTTGGCATCTCGTCACAACACTCTCCACATGGTCCTTAAAAGACAAGCTCCTGTCAAATGTAATTCCCAGATACTTCAGTTTGCTCTCTATCTGTTGACATTTCTACCATCTATCGTGAGACTTGGGACATTAGCTTTAACGATTCTGTTGTCCAGAGAACACCACAAAACAGACGCCTTTTCCGGGTAGACGACAGTCCTCATTTCTGTACATCACTCAGTCATCTTGTCTACTGTCGCTTGTAGCTCCCGGGCTGTTTGTTCCCTCTCTTCCCCCTGCCTGTATGCAAGAATATCATCCAGAAGTCATCTCAAAAAATAAACTGCATTTCAAAGAGCCTTTTCGCTGTATTTACTCGGAAAAAAAGGGGGGAGGGGGGTTTTCGTTTCCTTTGAAGTGGACATGCATTTGTCTAAGAGGCGACAAACATAGACTCTGAACAAATGAGCCAGATTTATCAAACGAATGTGTACGCAACCGATAAGTCCTTGAGAAAGGCTAAAGTTCAGACATGGACAAAACGCAGGACTTTCTGTCGGGGTGTACAGCCTATGAAAGCTAACAAGAAGACGAAGAGCAGATCTATCCTTTTCTGACGATCAGGTGTGCTGGACTTGATCCTTTCGTGTTTGAGGTCAGTGAAGTCTGCCCGATTTCGGATACAGGTGTTTCTTGGCCGACCGCATCGCCTCTTTCCATGTATGGAACCCTGTAGAGTAGTTTTGGAAAAGCCGTAAATCTTGTTACACGTTCACTTCGTTGCATTAATTAAAAAAAAAATATATATAAAAAAAAAAAACACTATTGTATCAAGTTGCCATATAGCAGACTGCATATACATATTTAAGAAATATGATTGACAATGTTTTCTTTCAATAATAATGTGACAGGACTATGAAACCGCAAGATCCGACCTTGTAAGGAAGTTTGAGCAGGATCACATGGTGGACTGGATTGAATCAAATGTCACTAAGAGCATCACACCGCAGCAGGTAAACCCTCACATCTGCACACAGTAGCTTTCACTTCTTCTTCTTCTTCTTCTTCTTCTTCTTCTTCTTCTTCTTCTTCTTCTTCTTCTTCTTCTTCTTCTTCAGTGTTCCGAGCCCTTGATGTTCACTGCTGCAGATTTCACCCGCCTCCACGCCTCTCTCAGGTTGACCTTCTCTTTCCAGTTGGTGACACCAAGTGTTTGCACGTGTGTCTGGACGTTATCTCTTCATCGTCGTGGCCTACAACCATTCAGCTCCCTTATGTATACAGATATTAATTATCTTTCTGTCTTTTGACATTTTCTCAATATGCCCAAGCCATTTCAGTGTATTGATCTCATGAAGCCAGTAATCAGTGGTGATTAAAACAGATGATGAATTTCGTTGTTGCTTCTCACTCTCTATTCCCCGGTTTTTTTTTTTTTTACCTTTGATGGGCCCAAAGATTCGTCGTAATACTCTGTTTTATAAAAGTTGTAAAGAAGCTTCATCTCTTTTAGTTGTGCTCCAAGTTTCGGAGTTTTAGACTGTGAGCAAGAGGAACCCTGCCAGAAGGGTGTAAGTGTTCGGCTTTAATGTTGATTCTTGTCACTTGTGATGTATTGATAATAAACCCGTGAATTGCTGTCAACCTTCGTCGACTGTCATTTGGAGACGGGTGATAGTTGATCGGAAGAGAAGTTTGACTCGTCCGTACTGTTATCTTGCCCCCTAGACAATGGAACTAGTTTCGAATCTGTATGAGGGAGACTGAACACGGAGGAGATGCATTACACTAGTCAATCTTCCTTGATGTTCAGATTTTTCAGGATGCCAGATTTGCTTTTTTTGTTGGTACATGATATTCAGAGAATCGTTCTATAGCATGTCAGTTCAGAAGCTCACATTTTCTCCCTTTTAACTGGGAGATAGTACACCGCTCACATCTGTATGTTGCTACAGGAAAATGTATGTTCTTAGTGTGTTGCCGGTGCTTAACTATAGACTTGTAATACCGTCCCATTCTTACAACATACCCCATAATATAGACTTGGTATGCAGACATTCGGTTTTTTTTTTTTTTTTTTTTTTTTTTTTTTTGCTTTTTCCTTTTCTTTTTGAAAATAGATATCTGTTATCTTTCCCTTTAAACATATCCATTTTACGTTCTTTTTCTTTGTTGTTTAACTGTACCTGTACGTGTAATTGCACAACTCTTAAAGACGTCGCAAAACAACTTTAGCTGTTGTGTGGTTGAATCGTGTTTTTCTTTTAAATTGGTCGGGCACTCATACCATGTCAGATTATTGAAAGAGATGTCAAACCAGATGAAAAATTTAACAAGTCAGCTTAATATTGTCACAATCACAAAAGAGAAGTGAACATTACGGCTAGAACGCCTTCATCAGTACATACCATCTCTGTCTGAAATATTCACTTGCCTGGTCAGTTGAAGCTCTGAAGCACGTGTGAAAACAGGAAGTAAATAACTGTCACTTATTTCTGTATCTACCACTTTTTAGGGTGGTGTAGAGAGGGGGATCGTGAGCCTGAAGATGTAGGACCGCACGGCTAGTGCTATCGCCACAGACTATGCAGGTTGGGATGTTTATTTTTTCCCTGACAGAAAAACTCCACCACCTTACCGGGGTCGAACCCTGGTCTCCATTATAATAGCTGACGTTGTAAACACTCGGCCATCCGCTCCCCAGGAAATGAATACAACCTAAAAAGGACGTGGAAGGCAACGGCTGTAATTAAAAATATATTTCCGGCGGCCATGAAACAGAGACAAAGTATTGGAAGAAACTATTCTCATTTCAGTTGAATTTATTCAGTTTTGTGCTTTACTCTATGTTGATGTAACTCTGTAGTAACGCACCTGATGAGATACAACGAAATATACCTGGCACTAAATTGAACAATGTATTGTTTGTATTCGCATTATTTAAATAAGGGGGTAGTCTGGTCTGAAATGTGAAAAAAATGGGTACCGTTTTGTTTTTGATGAATAACCAACTAAATATTAAAATATCTTCTTGAAATTTGGTGAGCTTATGCTTGATACATGACAGTTCACTAATATGCCATTTGTTTTTTTTTTTTGCAAACGTGTTTAAACGTGCCAAATTATTATTAAATTGAAAAAAATGTAAGAGTAAAAAAAAAAAAAATTGATGTTAGTCTTATACAGATATTTTCTAAACTAACCTAACAGGAGTCCTGAATTTTGGAGTCAGAGTAGTTCACTGCTACAGTTAGATTCGCTACCTCTAGTTTGTTTGTACTAGCAATAGTTTTGAAGTTATGAAGTTGTAAAATTTGGGCTAAAATGACTAGCAAATTATGAAATTAAAATACTCATAATTCAACTTGCATCAAATATTTCTCAAAGCTGGTGGTAGGGATCATAGCTGTTATTGTTTTAAAGCTGTGTACCAAAGTTGAATAATTTATATCCAATAGTTTAGAAAAAAACACCAAAAAGTTAGTCACACCCCCTAAATTTTGGCAAAGTTTTCTGACAGTTTTGAGAGAGAAAAATGGTACTTACTCGGCTTAAATGAGCTAATGTCCTCCAGGTAAGTATGGTAATCCTTCCTGGTGGGCCTGCTTCTCATCCCTAGTAAGTCTACTCCGCCTCCTAGCTATTCTGGCTGCATGTGATGCTGCTTTGGCTCGCCGTTGAGCATTTTTTATTCGTCGCATATCCTTTTGCAGAAAACAGTCTTTAGCAAACTGTCCAACCATGAGCTGCAGTTCCCTCATAATATCCAAGAATGTCTTAGCACCATCATTGAATACACTCACTGCTATTGAAACAGCTGTTTTTACTGTAGTCAGTCCATGAGCTTTTTTTTTAGGGCAATATTTCCAGATGAGGCTGTTAGCACTTTCATTTGCGTTCTGTGTATAACCTTCTAAACACTTGCGTAAAAGATCTGGATGTGCAAGATCCCTAAAGATGGGTTTTATGGTATCCATAACTGCTGTGGGCAAGCTAGATTTATGTTTGTAAGAATCTAACTTGTTTTCTGATTCAGCCTTCTTATAAGGACACACAGGTGAGCACATACTGTGTTGAGGATTTCCATCAGTTGAAAGTCTGTGAAAATAGACTGCCCACACATGTTGTCTCATCACAGCAAGATTGTTTTTATTTCTACGAATTGCATTCCCATACATTGTTTGAATCTGATCAATTTGTTTATCTGTAAGCCTTCCTTTTCCATCTAAGCCTTTTCCGTCTTCTAACTTTCTTCCTTTCATGCTTTTTTTTAAAGTTGCGGAGACGGGTGCCCATTCTTTTTTGCACGTGTCCCACACATTCTATTGTATCAATCGGTATATCTCCATATGGTTTGGAATTAACTACTGCTTTGTATGTGTTTGTATCTCCATCGCCTTTAAACCTGGTATACCTAAGATTATAATTTGTCACAGACCTTGCAAAAATATTTTTGATTATTTCTGCCTCCATCGATCCCGAAGACAACTTATGTGTGAGTGTACATATGTCCTTGTGCTCTGTAGCCCATCTAATATACCTCGTCGTACTTTTATCTCTTCTTTTCCAAACGTCACAAGACTTGCATTGCTTACATCTTGTCCCTGTATCAAGTATTTTGCCTGTTTGGCAACTAATAGTTGTGGCAACTCCTATCACTGATGAGTGTCCTGGGGTCATCCAAGTCCCATCTGATGACACATCAATATGACGGATGTCATCCATCTGTTCCTTATTTTCTAAACATTCAGCTAAAGAAAATTCATTCATGGCTGCATTTCTCATAGATGTAGTCTGTACCTCTGTTGCTGCAGTCTCTATTTTCTTATTATTAAGACTATATGTGCTTTTGCTGACAGGTGGTGGTAAATCCATAATTCCGCAAAATGTCTGCAATTCAGATCTGTCGCAGCCAATAGTTCGCATTGCAAAAACAGCATGCTGATTTATACTACTCACTGTCCTTTTACCTACAATGATTTGTTCGCATGTAGGGAAAGCCTTTTGTCCAGAACATCTTTCATTGTTGCAGTGAAATGCAAGTTTACTTCCTAAACCTTGCCTCTGAATTTTAACTAATCTGACACTATCATGACAACTTGCACACACTAATTGTGATGAAATATTCTCACACAAAATGTACATATCAATAATTCTGTTGCCACTGGGAACAAGTTCAGATAAATGACCATTTTCACTTTCATTGTCACTATTAAAGTCATCAGAACACTCTTGTTTATCCTCTAGATCTTCATTCATAATGCTGTCCATAAACAGTTTATTTTCTGATGTAGTGGGCGTGGCACTAAGAGATTCTGAAATCAGATTATTTTCTTTGTCTTCAGAAACTCGGCAAGCGTCAGCTGGTGAAACACGAGGCTGCAATTCAATGTCTACCACCAGTTTAGGTTGCTTTGAAGCAGAAGTAAACTGATTTCCTCTAAATTTCCTTTCCTTTGCAACTTTACTCCTCTGCTTTGGAAATGATGGCATAATTCTAAACTAAGTATTGACACAAATAACTCGATAATAACTCACAAATCATAAAATTTTCAGCTTCTGTCAACGGAAATGCTTTGACGCAAGAAAGGGGAGCAATCCTTATAATAAGACCCAAGAAAAGGGGAGTGATTCATTGTTTTGTATTGAAAAGAACCATATAAAGAAAAAAAACTTTTTTATAAAATTTTTTGTCAAAATTGTCTCCTTGAGCTACCCACACACACCCATTTGTAATCAAATTATCTCAGGTTCTATTGATCGGATTTTAAAGTTGTAAACTGCTAATGAAAATAGACATATTTATCTACACGGTTAGTGGCATAAAATATGTTAAAGCAAAAATATGATATTTTTCAAATTTCCTATCAGACTACCCCCTTAGTCACAATCACAAAAGAGAAGTGAACATTACGGCTAGAACGCCTTCATCAGTACATACCATCTCTGTCTGAAATATTCACTTGCCTGGTCAGTTGAAGCTCTGAAGCACGTGTGAAAACAGGAAGTAAATAACTGTCACTTATTTCTGTATCTACCACTTTTTAGGGTGGTGTAGAGAGGGGGTTCGTGAGCCTGAAGATGTAGGACCGCACGGCTAGTGCTATCGCCACAGACTATGCAGGTTGGGATGTTTATTTTTTCCCTGACAGAAAAACTCCACCACCTTACCGGGGTCGAACCCTGGTCTCCATTATAATAGCTGACGTTGTAAACACTCGGCCATCCGCTCCCCAGGAAATGAATACAACCTAAAAAGGACGTGGAAGGCAACGGCTGTAATTAAAAATATATTTCCGGCGGCCATGAAACAGAGACAAAGTATTGGAAGAAACTATTCTCATTTCAGTTGAATTTATTCAGTTTTGTGCTTTACTCTATGTTGATGTAACTCTGTAGTAACGCACCTGATGAGATACAACGAAATATACCTGGCACTAAATTGAACAATGTATTGTTTGTATTCGCATTATTTAAATTCATTACGGGAAAACATTATTTTGAAACATATATATTAAATAAAGCTGTTTTGGACATTACGTCCCTTAGGCGAGTTGGAGCCGATTAGATAGATACGGCGGCTCTCAAGAGACTTAGGAATTATCACTGGAGTGGCTACACTTGATGGTTATAGCCTAGACGTCGAAGACATCTTGGTGACCTTCATAATTTAAATGCAGCAGCACTAGTTTGGGAGCACTATTCTTCACGTCAGAAAGATGGTGCCTGAACACGTCAAAATCATTGCACAGTTGTCTGCTACCAAAACACTGTCAGTTGTCTGTGACATTGGTATGTTGCAATTATAAAACTGAGTTTATAACCCTCGAGCCACAGATGCCGACATATAGTGTCAGGGAATCCTACATAAATGTTATGTTTTTTCGTCTATAGGAACAGGAGAGCATCCAAAGCTGTATCAGAGCTCTGAAGAAGCTGGCTGCTAAAGAAAATGTCTCCAAATGAACATTGGGCATTGTTAGAACACTTTTACTGTTTGTTTTATTAGTGTGAACCTCAGTTCGGTTTGATGTTTGAATAAATATATGTTTGCATTTCCATATTTTTCATTAGACTGTGGGGTATTAAACAATATCATGGAAAGATATGAAACAGAACGAAAAATAAATGGCGAGCTTCGCGATATAACAAACGAAATGTGAACATTGCGGCTACCGAGCCTTCACAGATGTTATGGGGTCATTACAAGTGGCGGTAACATCGTGTAGTATGGAACGCGGGATATCGCAGGTGATAGTGTAGGGGACTATGAAACCTGACACCCCTGTAAGAGAAAGTCGCGAATGTGAAAAGTCAAGACGCATCTATAAACAGCCAATCATGGTGTCCGTGGGCCCGAAAACGGGAGTTGTACCTATTAAACATATCTATATATTTTCTATTGGCAATTTAACAAAACTGGTGATTGGGGGAGGAGGAGGGGGGGGGGTGGGGTCTATAACTACTAATTTAAACGTCCAATGTATTTTTATTTATGGTAAGTCACTTTACGAACACAGAGGAGGCGCCTATGTTCGTTGGATCCCTATGCGGTCGCACGCGTTAAGTGGCTGACCCCATAAATGTGTTCCAGGGACCGCGACACTGGACACAGACCTCACTCAGTATATAGATGAGGGCACATGAGACCACACCTCGGTGTTTGGTGCACCACCAATGACTGTTCAGATAGCGTGCCAATGGGAATATGGCAATGGACAGTTTCATTTTGGATGATTCGTGTGTTTACTTTGTTTACATATTTCGTTGATCTCAAAGTTTTGAAACGAATAAAATAATAAAGTTAGTTCAAGGCTGGTGTATCGTTTCTGTACTGTCTGTGAGGCAAATTATTCTTCTTCTCCTCCTCCTCTTCTTACTCGTACTACTGGAACTACAGCTTGAAAAAAAAAATCATTTATCAAGACGACATACAAGGAATTGTGGAGAGAACATACCAACAGTAAACATAATTTTCTGTTCAAGAACAGGATACTGCAGCAGGCTCAACTACCATGTGCATAACATAAAGACCACAATCTACACATTGTGTAGGACAACAAACACGTGAGCACATTCTACAGGCCGGTCCACTATAATTACACTGACGAAGAGAAACCTTGCTCAAGAGCAAAGTGTGCAGAGCAAGATGTTGGAAACCATGAAGAACCTGCAACTGACGTGTGATTTCATAGAAGCAGCCCACCTGAAGTCTGAGCTCAGCACACGAAACCGACCGCCAAGAGCGAACGAAAGAACTTCTTTATCAAAGGGTTACAGATTGGGCACGCAGGCGCGTCTTTATTCGGCCCTGTCAAGCAAAGACACTAAAATCACGGGTGGTAAAATGCGCGCGCGCGCGCACACACACACCCACGTACACACGCAAACCCACTTACACAAACACATGGACCCACATACACAAACATATCCCATGCATTCATGCCTACATATATATACACGCATACCTACATACACACACATATATACATACATACGCAGACACTCATACACACACAGACAGACACTCTCACAAACATAAACACTCAAAGACACACATCCGGAAACATCCACACACAAACACACGTGACCACACTGACAGACACCTATAAACCTACACACACACACAGGCAGAGACACACACAGAGATATACAAAACACACAGACACCCACACACGAAAAAGAATAAGAAAGCTACAACTAAAACAAAAACTACTACCACGACCGCCGCCACCACCACCACTACTGCTGCTGCTGCTACTACTAATACTAATACTACTATTACTATTACTACTACTACTACTACTACTTTCGGCTATCCTCCGAATAACGACCACATATTATGGCAGCCAAAAACATGGCCTCAGACACATGTAAATTATTTACACGTCGTTCTCGTACTTCAGGCGGCTATACCGCCACAGCCGAGAGTATCTTTCACGCCGCTACTCGCGACGTTGATTGGGACTAAAATAGACGACTGGGACTTCTTCTTCTTCGATCCTTCTGTCAGAAAACTTATATCAGGAGGCCGGTAGCCTTTATGAAAGCTATCGTGCAATCCATATCCTCTTGTGTACCATACAGTTTTGTCTTCATTGTGACTTCAATGCCAGATTGCGTCTCTGTTGTCAGCATACAGTTGACAGTGTTGGAGCACATGCTCAGCATTTTCGGGTGCCACGCTGCAGGGACACGTCTCCGTATTTCCTACACCGAAAAATTTGAACATATGTTGACGAAATCTGTTGTGCCCTGTCCTTAGTCTGAATATAATAGACTGTCCCTCTCTAGAGAGGCGATGAAGTGAGTCTTGGGGAGAAAATCTGGTGTGGGTATCCAGCCACCTTTCTTGGATACTAGATTGTATTAGTGTTTTCATCACTTGGTGGGTTAAGTCGCTATTTGGTTGTACCATGTCACTGCCGCTTCTGGCCAATCTGTCCGCTATTTCATTGCCTTCCAAGCCACAGTGACCTGGAATCCACTGCAGTACAGATTGTTCTACTGAAGAGCCTAAGTAAATCAGCTGTTGCGTCAAGTCTACAAAACTGAGTGTCTTTTAGGTTAACAATTGCTTGTAGAACTGACATAGCATCAGTCAGAAAGACCACTCTGCTATATTTGCTGTGCTGTTGTCCATTCAGGAAAGAACATGCTGCTAGAAGTGCTTCTGCCTCTGCTCTGTAATTGGAGGAATATGAACCTGTTGGTACAGCCTGGTTGATTTTTAAACCATTTGGGCATTCTATGTATATTCCTCCTCCTCCGTCTCTTACTGCTCTCTTGGCTGAACCATCTGTATACACTCGAATCCAACTCTGGTGTGGGTAAAGTCTATTGATCTCTCCTTCTGTAGTTGATTTCATATCAGTGCTGCCCATTGATGATTTGGAGGAGACCCCTGTTACAGTGGTTCTGACTGTTGGTAGGCTATCCCTAAGCCAAGCGGGGCAGTCGTTGTAAGGTTTAAGTGGAACATTTGGTATTATGGGAGGGAGTTTAAGGACAGCGAGCTTGGCATTTGCGTTCTTAATAAAGCAAGTTCTCTTTAGTCTAGCCTTCTGGGGTTTCTGTAGTCGGCTGTACATGGGTTGTTCTTGAAAGTGGTGGTATTTGGAGAGCTGGGTGAGGATCTTTGTGTCTCTCCTATCTTCCAGATTATGGAGACCAGTAATTGTTTCCATATCTGATATGGGCGTGGAGCGCATTGCCCCTGTCATAATACGGAGAGCATGGTTTTGGATCTTTGAGACTTTCTGAAAATTTGATTTAGCTGCTGTGCCCCAAGCAGCTATTCCATATTCTAGTGTTGGCCTCACATAGCCTGTATAGGTCCTCTTAAGGACATTGAGGTTTGCCCCCCAGTCTGTTCCAGCTAACTTCCTCATCAGTTGTGTTCTCTTGAGTCCCTTGCTCTGTGTCTTTTCTATCTGTTTTCTCCATGTGAGTCTTGAGTCAAAGGTTACTCCTAAATATGACGGTGAGTCATCATGTATCAGTGCCTGGCTGCCATATCTAAGTGAAACTTTCTGGGGTTTGGTAGAGAGACTGAAAATGGTGTGTGTGGTTTTGGCCCCATTTACAGGCATGTACCAGCTATTGGACCACCTCTCTAGAGTTCCTAGGGATTCTTGAAGCCTTGTCTGTGCCTTTTCAGTGTCCTCCTCTGAACTCAGTAGCGCCAGATCATCGGCATACATAACGGCTTGAACTCCATTACAGAGGGTTGATTTTATGTCGTTAATGTAAACTAGGAAAAGAATTGGGGACAGAACTCCGCCTTGCGGAACTCCATGTGTCATTGAGACTGATCTGACTGGGACTCATGAGCAAAGCTGCAGGAGATGCGGAAGCTGCTGCTTGTGAGTCCCAGCCATCTAATTTAGCCCCAATCCACGCCGCGCGTGATACTCTCGGCTGTGGCGGTATAGTCGCCGGAAGTGTGCAATAATATGTGGCCGTTATTCGGAGGAAAGCCATACTTTTCTTCTTTAGCTTTTTATCCACACATAGACATTTACAGAACCCTTGCCAATTCCTTTATAGGAGTGTCCATGATTAGTAGAATGTTGCATCAAAAGATGTGTAAAGGACAAAGTAGACATTGTAAGAACACGTCTACATGTCCGTTCCCGTTTCCATTATTGGGAAGAAAAAAAAAAAGCTTGGGTTCCACTAAGTTCAACCCTGCTGCTACTGGTGAAGCTTCGATTTTATATTCAAGTCCAGTAAACTGGCGATTCGTCCGTAAAGAGTTAACCTGTTTTACTGCATCTTTCTGGGTTTTATTGCGTCTTTGCGACACGAATGCCATGCTTGAAATTAACATAGTTTTGGTCAATTTTGACTATTGGGCATTCATTGCAGCAGAATCTTTCGCCGGAGTTTATAGCTGATGAACCCTGAAAAGACGTCCGTTTAATTCTGTTACAACTTTCCGTCCTTTTTAGGATGAAATTTTTCGTTATTTGAAGTCCTACTCTGGCTCTTTCCAGTGCCCGCAAAATAGCCCGGCCATAAATATGGCCTAATAGCTGAACGCGGTTTCTGGGACCTGTCCACAGTGATCCTCATCCACATGGTGGCACTTAGTGTCATCGGGTGTTTATCGCTTGAGTGATGTTCTGGTGGGGTAGAAAATTCGCCAGTCAGTCATTCCGCTTAATCAGAATGCTACTGGCACCATTAGTATCGGAACTCTTCGCTGGCTGCTGAAGTGCCGTGATGTCGCTTCTTGAATCAGCTCAACTCAACTTGCTAAGAAGGAGAAGAAGAAGGAGAAGAAACCGCCCTCGTATATCAGCAGAGCACATAATACCGATATTGGGAAGAAAAAGCGGCAGGCGTGATGCTGACCATATCACACAGCCAGTGCTGACTGGTTTATAACATATACGTCTAGGCATATGTGACTAAATCCCAGGTCGACCCAGCCTTGAGTGGGTACCGGGTGCAGTCCCGTGCAGTAAAGGCGGCTAGCTTGATGGTGAACACATCACCCATCTTGAGCCGATTGGTTTATAAAAAATATAGGTCTAGCCCTGTTCGCCTGAAGGCGTGGAAAAGGGGCCTTTCATTTTTTTTTACTTATATATGGCCAAAACGCTTTAAAGTGTTCAGAGGGGTCCTTTACTTACATAATGCCGATGCGAACTATCATGTTTGTTTCGTTTTATACGATGATAGTAGTTCATTATTTTTTAATACGCTGTGTTAGTTGGACTGGATCGCTGAGTGTTGTTTGGGAACACGAGTCTGTTATCTTTATATTTGTAAATTATCATATAATTGTTATTTTCTATTAAAAGCCAGTCTTCAATCGAAACATTATCTTTTGAACGTATGCTACTCCGTTTTCTGGAGCAAACTAGACAAATTATCGTTGTTGGTATCGGCTCGCATTGGAGGTAGTTCTTGTTATTTGGAAGCGTCATGTTTCCATGGTATTTGCTGGTTATCACAGGAGCCCTAATGGCTTGTGTGGGTTATGTTTTTAGCAGAATCACGGAGAAATTGCGGACAAAACATCATCAAGTGCCACCGCCCATGTGTAGAGGGTGGATTCCATGGTTGGGCTGCGCTGTGGAGTTTGGAAAAAGTCCCCTCACGTTTATTGAGGCCAAGAGGCGAGAGGTGATGATAATTTAATATTAGGTTTTATTCTTAATATTTCATATTAGGTTTATTTCTTAATATTTATGTTAAATTCTATATCTACTTTGTTGTTCTTCTTCTTTTTAAAGTCTATGCTGTGTGGAGTTTTAATAAACTCTGACACAGATTAGCTTCCTGACACAGATTAGCTTCCTGACACAGATTAGCTTCCTGACACAGATTAGCTTCCTGACACAGATTAGCTTCCTGACACAGATTAGCTTCCTGACACAGATTAGCTTCCTGACACAGATTAGCTTCCAAGCCATGATGTAGACTGCTCAGCATCTGTTTTCTCTGTCTCCCTCTGCCTCTTTCCCTCAAACTTTCCTACCATATGTACTCCAGTTTTCTCCTTCTCATCACATGACCCAAAAAAAAGGGGGGGGGGGGGGCAAATCATGGCTGGGTGGGGCAGGGGATGACATCATGCAGGTTTGCAGCCTTACAGACATCCATCCAGGTGAGGAGTGGATACAAGAGTCTAAAGCGCCCAATCTCACATTCTCCTGTGTCATGATGCTTTATAGGAGTTGTCGGGAGCAGAATCCAGCTGCTGTCAATGCCGAGGTATGTGCGCTTATCAGTGACAAGTCAGATGAGACAGATGTGCTGATCTTCACAGACGGGTCCGCTATACGAGGACATAAGAGTGTATGGGCATTTACAGCTCGCTCTTCAGGCAGAACAGTTAAGGAAGCCAGCGGTGCTTTCTCCATGACCACCAGCAGCATGATGATGGAGGTGAGGGCGGTGATACAGGCTTCTATGTGGCTGGGATCACAGGACTATTCCCACGTGTGTGTGCTGAGTGATTCTTTGAGTACATCCGGCGGGTCGAGGCAGGCTGATTACGCAGACAGTGGCTCGAGTCATTGCAAAATTCTCCTGTGTGTGCAGATACTTTCATATTCGTCCTAGGGCATGCAGGCGTTGTTGGTAATGAGAGAGCTGATAGACTGGCAGGTACTGCATTAATTGAATATGGCTGGCCCATGGATCACGCAGACATTGTCATTGCCCTTAGAGAGATAGGATGTTCTGAGGATTTTGGAAGCAACGTGTCCACATCACTTCTAAGAATACGCAAATTGGAAGTAAAGATCAGCACAGCCAAGCATGAGAAGCACACTGGACGCACAAGAAATCTTGTTAACCAGCATAGGACTGGTATTATTAACCGCACGACGCTGATGAATATGTTGAAAGGGGAATCTGAGCGCCTATGGATGTGTCCGGAGATAATCTAACTCATAACTCAAAGAATGTAGATTATCTCTTTCTGATATTTGCAGTTTTTTTTAAAGACATATTCAATGCTCTTTTTATCTGTCCAGGGTATTCTAATCATTCATATATAAAACTACATCTCCGCCGCTTCCAGATAAGTTTTCACCAATTTACCAACTGTCCATGATTCACTTCTCTATATCAATGTAGGATTTAGGTAGCTTTTAAGAATTCTATTTCTCATCTCAGGTGACAAAGAAGGATTGCATAAAATATTCTTCATTTTGTAAAATGCTGCCTTTGCTTGAGCTATTCGATATTTAACTTCTTTAATGCATCTTCCATCTGATTTTATCGGAGTACCCAGGTACTGAAACATGTCAACTTGCTTGAGATTTGTCTCAATTACTTTGATGTTGCATTTTGGAAGGGCAGTTTTCTTTGTAATTACCATTACTTCTGTTTTTCTGCTGTTGAAAATAAGACCCTTGTTCTCTCTTTCTGTTACAGTTCTATCCATCATTTCTATCAGTTGTGTTTTATTTTCAGGGATTAAAACTATATTGTCAGCATATTGCAGGTTGATGACAAAATGCTTACCAGGCATACCGTGTATGGATCTAATGATTATTTCACAGTAAAAGTTGAATAAATCGGGTGATTGTACACATCCTTGTCTAACGCCTTATTTAATGTTTTAAAAAGTTCCAACTGGTTGTCAGTCCTTATGGCTGCTTCTTGTTGCCAGTATATCTTTTTATTATTCTGAGATCTTTACCATCAATGTTTAAGGTTTCCAAATTTCTAACAATTTCTTCATGTTTCACTTAATAAAATGCTTTAGTGTAATCAGTAAAGCACAAATGCAGATCTCTATTCACATTAATCATTCTTTTCGAAAGTGTTTTCAAGATAAATATGGCATTGTTTGTGCCTTTACCTTCAACAAAATCACACTGCTCTTCTCCAATTTCTGGTTTAATTTTTCACCTTATGTTTCTCATGATAATTCTCATTAATATTTTAGTTCTTTCTTCACCAGCTGTAAACTCCAGTGGAAAGTTCTGGGTGTTTATCCACATCTGGACTTTAGTCTTGTTCCAAAACCTGAGTGTTGTATGCACATCCATTTAACAGGTCTGGCTTATTTGTTACAGTTTTTTTGTAGACTTTTGGTTCCTTGCCTCCTAGGCAGATGTGCTGTGAATGATGCCGCCTATTAGTCGACTTCTACAAGGAAGCTGTGGGTTTATTCTTGTTTTCCCCACAATGGTGCCCCTGGAAACCACACAGGAAGTTACATTCTTTATAACTGGAGTGATATTAGGCCAAAATATTTTACCTGTCATTTTATATTTTATTCTTAATATATAACATTGAGATTTGATTTTTATTTGATATTATATTTATTTCTAAATATTTATTTTTAGATGTAAATTTAATATTTTTTATTAGGCTTGATTCTTCTTCATCTTCAGTAAGCAAAAGATATAGAAACAAGCCTTCATCAACAAAACCTCAGTGGAATCAAAATACAACACAGGCTAATTAAGAAACCTGGCCTCAATGTCAAAAGGATAATACTATTGAATATTATTAACTTTAACCTATGGAACAGCACCTGCAAGCAAGATCATGCATCTTTCCCATGGCAACTTATTCATGTGTGTCATGGACTCTTACTTAATTATTAAAGAAAAATAGGAGCTTTTGGACTGAAATGCTACAGAAAAATTCTTACAATACCATGAATCAAGAAGAAGAAAAACACTGGCATCCTAAATGATTTGAGCATTGAGGATTATTGGCTCATAAACAGCATCTTGTGGCAAAAGCCGGGGTATTTTGGCCTTGTTAAACATCATAGTTGCCTGGAGAAAACAGTGGTAGAGGGTACAGTTCCAGGAAGATCAGGTAGAGGCAGACCTCTATAAATGTGGACACAAGACATTGAAGATGCGTTAGCTATGAAAGCACATGGGCTGGAGAATTAGCTGTAGAAAGAGGCTTTCAGTCATACTGTGATGAGAGATGTGTTCTGTAAAGGACTTCATGATTGATGATGATTGTTTAGTGTACTGTGATGATTGTTTAGTGTACTGTGATGATTGTTTAGTGTACTGTGGTGATTGTTTAGTGTACTGTGATGATTGTTTAGTGTACTGCAAGAAATAAGAACTCCAAATGACCCTTCCTTAATTAAAAAAAAGGTTCTTGATTAATATCCTATCCCAGATGACGTCACAGGACAGTCCAACATTTTAAAGCTTGGTAAGACAAGGTTTCCTGGCTTTCTGATGCTTTTAAAGACCACAAAACATCTACAACTGGCCCTGACCCTAACCAACCTACATCCCATGAGAAAGTGCAGCCTAGGTCTCACAACTGCATGCAGCCTAGGTCTCACGACTGCATGCAGCCTATCTACCACCCCCTGAAATATTAGACTGTTCCTTTACCTGTGGATTCCCAGGTTTGGTGTAGGATATTAATAGAGCACCTTAAAAAATATGACCCTCGGACAGAAGCCTGTGACAATAGAAAACATGCTGGGAGGTGATAGGTCTAGATAATAACAGGGAAGAGTTAAACAATACCTCACAAAAACAAAGGTTTGCACATCATCATCAAGTGACTTGCTGACTGGCATGGGCGATTATGCTTCTCCATAATCCATGATCTCCTGCAGCATGTATCAGTTCGTGTGCCGATACACCTCCATGCCATGAAACAAGACTGTCAAGACTCTCGTTGTCTTCCTCTATCCCACCTTCCACAGATCTTTCCAGTGGTCACAACATGTTCTTTTTTCCCTCTTCTCATAACATGGCCAAAAAATTATGATTGTCTACTTCTGACGTCTGTGATAAGTTGTCTTCGGGTTCCCGCCTCTTTCAAAACCCTTTCGGTTGCTCTTTTTGGTTGTCCAAGGTATTCTAAGCATTCTTCTGCAAAACCACATCTCTGAGGCCTCAAGAAATTGTTTGGCCTGCCTACTGATTGTACAGGATTCACAGCCATATGTTAAAACTGGATGTATGTAGCAAGCAAGAATTCTTTTTTCTAACTCTCAATGACAAGGATATATTGCACAAGATATTCTTCATTTTATAAAATGCAGTTTTTGCCTGTCCTATTCTGTTTCTTATTTCAGTTATGCATCTTCCATCTGATGTTATCCATGTGCCCAGTTACTTAAATTTCTGTACTTGTCCTAAAATAACAGCATCGACTTTTATTACACATTTAGGAATAATTTGTTTCTTTGATACCACCATTACTTCTGTCTTCCCATTATTCAAACTGAGGCCCATTGTTCCACTTTCTAACACCACAACGGGGTGCACATGAGGTTTAATGTATCCTAGGATATGATAATGGTATCCCAGATCACTGAATATTCCAACAAAAAAAAAGATTCCACAATAGGATATTATCAGTGTTTTTCTTTTTTTTACATACACACTTAAAAATATACTAGACAACAATCTTCACTCCTGCAGTCGGTTACACTTATTAAATAGACTAAGCACCAATAAATAACCAGTAGCAATAGGTTGGTGAACATAAATTTCCAATAGCAAATAGAAAAGAAAAACTCTGTACATCCTAATTTTTACCCAGTTTGTTAGAAAAGGATATCTTTGTTTAAATTACTATTACTACTCTTGGTCTGTATTCCATTAGGGTATGAAATTCTGAATAATAAGGAGGAGGGGAACAATATAAGTGTTAGGGGTATAGGTAGAAAAATTATATATATGATGGAAGAAAGATTGTCATCACTAGTATATACTTTTATGTCAGACACATTTACATTCAGACAGTCTGCACATTTCTCAATCAGCTGCCTTTGTTTTGCAGTTGGGACCAGTATTTACCCTGCAAGTTGCTGGGGAGCGCATGACGTTTCTGACCCAACCTGCAGATTTCCAGCTGTTCTTCCAGTCTCCAAGTGTAGATTTTCAAAAAGCTGTACAGAATGCTGTGCAGAATGTCGGTATGCTATATCTCACTGAGGTTGAGTGTATCTTCTGTTGAAGTATTCATGTTGACGAGGAGTGGCCAAGTGATTAAGAATGCTAGGCTGTCTTTCAGGAGACTCACTGCACCACTGCACATGACAAGGCAGATGTGGTCAGTAGAGAAAGAAGATTATTATAGCCTGAAGAGAATGAGGCACCTGGGTGTAACTAAAGCGTCTGGCCGGCTCACTACACTCAGAGGAAAGGCAAGACGGACATATAACCAGATTGTGACTGGTACCATCAGTATTGGACTCTGCACTGGCTGCTGAAGATGAGGACAGAGCACACATGGGAATGCCCTGAGTGTTGTAATGTCAATTCTTGACTCAGCTCTACTCAGGAGACCCAGAATCAAATCCTCAGTTAGGTAATGGATTTTTTCTAAGGAAAAAAGGGGGAGGGGCAAAACATATAATCCTAATCTTCATATTTAATGGCAGTTGCACAAGCCATATGGTCTTAAATCATCGGACTAGAGACCCCCTTCCCTGTCCCCCACCCCTACTTTTCCCATCCTACATCAGCCTAAAAAGTGGTTTAACCAGGCAGTAACGCCAGTTTGTACTGACAAAATTAGTTTTTGCCCAGATCATGCATACGTAGAATTGATAAACCTGATGTGATGGCTTTTAAATGAACTTATCATATCATCTGAACAGGAAAACTTGTAGGCAATAAATGTACAGCGTGTACTTTTTTTTTTTAATATTAAAAAAAAAAGTTTTTAAAGACTTTGATAGCTCAACCGGTCTTTCTTGTCACACTGGCTATTGCAGTGTATCGTTAAACAGATGCCTCCAAATAGTTCACAACAGTCATCTGGAGAGATAGAAAGGGGCCAACTTTATGGCTGAATAAGTAGGGAATTGAGAATGGAACTGACTACAAGCTCACGACAGAGACGGTAGTTATGTACACTATCTGACTTGTGATGTTAGACTTGAACTGAGCATGTAAATCTTCTTCTGCCTTTCTGGCTCCCAAAGGAGCATAGGCCCTCAGCCAACTTAGCCAAGTTTTTATATCCTTTGCTATTGCATGCAGTTCTCACCATGTCCTCCTCATATGTGGATAGGGAAGTATAAATATATAGCATGACTGTATGGGAAGTATAAATATGTAGCATGATTGTGTGGAAAGTATAAATATGTAGCTAGCTTGACTGTATGGAAAGTATAAACATATAGCAGAGTTGTGTGGGAACTGTGCTTGTATAACTAAACTTGTCTTGCTCTGTTTTCAGGATCTGTGCCCCCTGAGGCTTTCTTCAGCAACCACACAAAAATCCACGACACCCTGAAAGGATTTCTTGCTGCCACCAATTTATCAGATCTGACACAAAGTCTGTTTCAGGAATTCAAGAAGCATCTTTCGGAAGTCCACAGACTGAGTAGGTATAAGTAATCTGGCATAGTTTTTAAACTCATTCAGTACTAAGCAACTTACAGTGCGTTTACAGGTTAAACATTACACAGTTTCTTAACACTTCAACTCTTTGAGTCCTAAGGAATATATCTACTTTCACAGGTTCCTACCTAGAAGCCCAATTACCGCATGATGCACCGTTTTATGTCTCTCTTTACTAACCCTTTGGCCTGTGATGCTAAACCCACTGGGACTCAAAGAGTTAAGAGATGAATGATGAAAATACCCAAACAGATAAAAAGAATAATGAAGATGTCATGAAAGAAACTGACTCACTAAAAGAACTGATTGTCTGCCCCATATGGAGTCAATCTACATTCTTTGGTTATTTCATGAGAAGGAGAAAACTGGAGTGCATCCAGACGGTAGGAATGTTGGAGGTGAACGAGGCAGAGGGAGAGCGAGAGAGTAAATGCTCAATTGTTTGATATCATGGCAGTGAAGGCCGTCTGTGTCACACAGCTGATGGAAAGAACATGAGACAAAAAGTTGTGGACAGACATGACTGACTACACAACACGGGATGGACTATGGAAGATCATTTGTGTCAGAAATGATTGAAAGTACATGAGACAGAAGGTTGTGAATAGACATGACTGCCATTACTACATGACATGGACTCTGGAAGATCACCTGTGTCAGAAGTGATTGAAAGTATATGAGACAGAAGTTTCTGGATAAACATGACTACAAACACCATGTAGCATGGGCTGTTAGAAAAAGATGGCTTGGTATGTCTCTAAAGATTGGTTTATTGCCTTCACGTGAAGCTCAAAACTGTCTGGCTCCATGACAACCACTACAGGTCTCAAACCCACCTTTTCTCACAGTCTGAACGATGGAGTCTGAAACTGTGTTTACGGCTTCTAAGGCAGAATGCTTAAGTCTTTCTTGCCAGAGGGTTTCACATAAGATAACAAAATGATGAAATAATCATGATGCCAAAATCATGAATGCTTTACTTTCAAATTGGCAAAATGCATAGTTGTAGTGACCATTGAGGAAAGCCAGATTTTTCTAGTATATTCTGATCAAATAGTAAAAGTAGGAGAGCACATTACAGTTTAAAGGTGAATCAAGGGGTAAATTAATTCACACACTGGGTGTTGCTTGGGACTGAAAGAGTTAACCATTTCGTTGGCAACCATGACCTAGTCTAGGCTAGTGTGAGTACAGCTTGGCCATTTGAAAGTGTCAATAGCTAGCACATATTAAACATAGTTATCCAGTGGCTCATTTCTATTAGTTGATGAGAAAGCCCATTGGCCTAACCATTAATGACCCAGATGCAAAGGAACTGTCACATGATTGTTTGGATACCAAGGTATGCTTGTGTGCAAGTTGAATAGTTTTACTCATAAAATTATAAACAATTTGAATCTCAAAATGATGAACTTTCAAGTAGTTGTATTGTTTTTAAAAATTTGAATAGTATATTATTGTGCACATGGTATGTTTTATTCTCACAGTCAACATCACTGTTGGGGGTCTCAGTGGAAAAGTGGTCAAGCAGTTTGCCTCACGCTCTGAAGATTCATGATTACATTGTTTAGTTTACAAGTGCAATTTTTACAAAGATCCCTAGGGATCATCACCGGAGCTAGAGAATTCGGGCACTGTATGATGCTTTTGGTAGGCGGCTAGCCGTTCTGCCGTAAAACCTGGTGCAAGAAAGTCGATCCTCTCGACTTTAACCTTTAAGTCGACATCACTGTACATTGGGCATTCCCATACGAGTTCAGTCTTCTGATGCAGCAGATTTCATATGGTCTCTCATTTGACTGTTTGCATACAAAGTTGCATGTTTCCTATGTTGATTTCAAGCCATATAGATCTTTATTAGGCTTTACTCCCAGGTTGTGCAGTCAGGTTAGCATCAGAGACTCGTCATTATCCATCAACCTGTATAGTATTGACTATACTTCAGCTTGGTCCTTGTTTCTTCAGCATGTCTTAGTACTTGATTTGCTATCTGGCTCGCTCAGGCATTACCCTTTACTCCAGCACACTCAGGTGTGTATATCCAGGTGAGGATGTTGAAGAATGACTTCCGAATGCTGTCTACCAATTTAGAACAGAGGCTACATCTTGTAATTTTCTCAAACATGTTCTCAAATCTTTGCACATGCACAGAATTTATATATATGACTTCTTTTTTTTTTTTTGAACACAACAGTGAATTGTTTTTACTTTACACAACAGATACATTTTTTTTAACTTTACATAAAAGATAAATTGTTATAATTTACATACCAGATGCATTATTTTTACTTCACAAAACAAAGGAAATTAGTTTTAAATTAAACAACAGACGAATTTTGTTTTTTAATTTACACAGCAAGGGAATTTTCTTTAACTTAGACAGAAAACTGTTTCTTGTTTTGTGTTTTTTTTTTTTTAAATTTACACAACAATTGAATTGTTTTTAATTGACAAAACAGAGTTTCTTTAATTTTCATAACAGACATCACTTCGAATTTACACAAAAGATTAATTTTATTCATGCTCCTCTGGCATTCAGATTTCACCCTCTCCAATGAATGTTTTGATTGTCTGAGGAGAGTGGTGCTGCGGGGAGTTGCCAGGGAATCTGATTGATGCTCAGCACTCAATCAAAAAGTTAGCCGAATATACAGCCAGACTGTTGCTGGTGCCAGTGGAATTGGAACTTTTCACTTGCTGCTAATAGGGGGACAAAGTGCTCATGGGAATGCCCACTGAGTGCTAGAAAAGAAACCAAATCAAACAAAAAGTATAGCAGCAAGCTTCACAATATAATGAACACAAACAAAACGTGAATGTTGCGGCTATGGAATCTTCATCAGCACATACATAAATAAAACAATACCACACAAATACACAAAAATAAATTAGCTTAGTATCTCAAAATCTGTATTTGTATTTGCTACCACAATGACAATATATATAACACCCTTGAGTGCTATGATGATGTTAATTCTTAATTCAGCATTCAACATTTCAGATGAAGCAACAAAATCAACCAGTCCAGACCTGTTGCAGCTGGTGCGGAGGTCCATGTATAAGTCGGTGATTAGCAATTTGTTTGGAAGCTGTGTCCTTCCTGTGGAGCAAGAGGTTTGTTACTTTGTTCTCTGATAGCAGGGCTTTAAATTCTGTTCTGTTCATTGAAGTATGATTCTGTTCAACTCTTTCTGCACCACGTAATGCACCATGTTTGCCTTCATTGGCTGTTCTGAAGATAAACTTTCTCAAACTCTCTTTTTGGTCTGTTGCGCCTGTACTGTAGTACCTGTCTTACATTGAGGTTTTAAAGACAGAAGGAATTATGGTAACTACTGTTTGAGCAATTGCTCAATTGGTTTAATCTCTTCAGGCTGCTCCTAAAGGTCACCATACCATCCTAAAATTTTTTTTTTTAAATCTCAGTCTGGTTGGCAGGCAAGCAAGGCAGATCCAAGATACCCTGTTCAGCCTTCAAAGAAGTTATAATTAGGGCACCCAAACTAGCTATGTCAGCCAGGTTTAACCTGTATTTGGTACAACATAGACAATATAGAAAGCACCAAATCTCACAATACCTGTTGCGAAGTCACCATTTCATCTTGCCTCTGTCGGAAAGTCCAGTAAAGTGCAGCAGGGAAGATCAAGGCATGGCTTCATGAACCAGGTCGGCCCACCTTCTGAGACTGTATAGGAAGTAATGGGCTGAAACAATCATCGACAAGGTATCTTTTGACTGATGATAGGTGGACCCTGCTGTGCATGCTTTCCTGTGGAGTTCTTCTTTTTGTAGTCCTATGCAGGTAAGGGTGACCCCTGTTTGAATCAGCAATTGGGATAATAAATGTAGGAGACAGGTTTCATCAAATAGCAGTCTGGGATTGAAGGACTCAGAGTCCTTGCTGTGCAGTCTGAAGTATTGCAAGACAATCAGTAAAAACAATGGATGCATTTCCATATCTAGGGCATATTATTTATATGGGCTTTTCTGATCATTCTGAAAAAACTTGTGTCAAGAGACCAGTTACCTTGGGAGTAAAACCAGAACAACATAAAAATTGCTGTTTAGGAAGGGCTCATTGGCTGGGAGAAGGAAACTGAACACAAAGCTATGACTACCTGGTTGTCAAGCCTTGGTTAATCATAGGCTAAGGAAGCACATCCCAAAAGAATAACATTGAAATCAGAGGGGCAGGTCAAAGGGCACAAATCATCATCATCATGTAGCAGGTCCTTTGCAGAACGTCGCTCTCATCACAGTCTGCCTGTAAGAAATTCAGTCTCTTGCCAGTTTCACCCGCCTCATGAACTTTCACACTCAAGGAGTCACTTATATCCTGTGCCTATCTTCGTGTCGGTCGGCCTCTGCCCCTTCCTGGTACCATGCCTTCTGCTATAATTTTTCCCTATCCGTCGTGGCGCTTGATATGACCAAAATATTTCAGCTTTCGAGAAAGGATGCTGTTTATTAGCCAATCTTCCTTGATATTCAGATCTTTTAAGATGTCAATATTTCTCATCTTCTTTGTCCAAGATATTCTGAGAATTTTCTATAGCATTTCAGCTCAAAAGCCCCTATTCTCTTTCTCAAGGACTGAGAGATAGTCCACGACTCACATCCGTATGTAGCCACAGGGAAGATGCATGCTCTCAAAATTCTAATTTTTATCTCCTTGTTGGTGCCTTACCATAGACTCTCCTCTGAAAGTACTGGAGAGTTTTGGGAAATGCTATTCTAGTCTCAAGACTCAGTGAAGGGAAAACCCCAACTGCACCTCCACACGGTAGAGGACGGTAAACACACTGCTGTGTGGCCAACGCAGCTATGGGGACCCAGTATCCGCCGGGATAAGTGGACACCTCTGGAGTGCCCTCTGCTGTTAGCAGGAGCATCACAGAGCAGGGCACTCACTTTCCCTAGCAATCGAAAAGGTTGCTGAAGGCTGAGGACATGGTCTAAAGCCATGTGGATGTGGAAAGCAACAGGAAACTATCACATTACTATCCCAAGAAACTCATCATGGAAGCCAAAAATGAAACTCAAAGATGTGATGGTGAGGCCCCCAGGCCAGGCAGATCACAAACGCGAACTGGGGAAGAGAACGATGGCAGAGCAAGTAAGGGTAGTTGTGATGACGGCCTTAAGCCCGACGGTACTACAACAGAAAACTCTGTCACAGCTCTAAGGAAAACTTTAAAGTTAGGAACATGGAATGTCAGGAGCATGTATCAGGGAAAACTTAGCATTGTTGGCAGTTAATTAGAAAGGGCACAAATAGTCTCTAGAAATCTTCCTCATAAACAATGTCATCATGCATACCTTCATTAATGTTGGGAATATGCTTTAAGCTACATACATATTTGTTATTAACCAGTCAGCACTTAATGAGTTAGTATTACACTGATAGTAGTCTCAAATAGAACCTTTGCTGGTGCTCATATTAGGCTGGTCACAAGGATCCAGATAAGATTCTTGACAGCCTTTCATCATGTCAGTGAAAAATGCCAGCATGCAGATTCTTCCTCATCATCATTTTTGTTTGATTTTGGTGTCAAACTATTGGGTTGTAGCCCAATGTTGTGGTTGTCTTTATTTGTCTGGGGCGTCTCAGATGGTTTGAATGAAGGATTTGTTAATTTTTCTTTGCAGTTTCTGCTACACCGTTTATCCGTATTTTTTCTTACTTTTCCTCTCATTTCTTACCCTTTAACACATTTTTTTGATAGTTTTCAGCTTTGATAGCATTTTGCTTATGACAGTTTTTGTGACAATTTAATCTTAGGTAGTTTTGACAGTTTATAATCTGTAACAACTTTTATCAATGACAGCTTTTAATGTATTACAATTTTTCACCTGTGACAATATTCTGCTACAGGAGACCTACCAGGAATTCGAAACAAATTTTATAATATTTGATGAGCAATTTGAATTTGGAGCTCGGCTGCCTCATGTATTTCTCAGGTAAGTACCAATTCATTTGCTTTCTCAGAAAATTAACTCTTTCTATGCTTAATGATGTAGATTTCAAGAGCAGTGAAGAAATAAGAGAAATGTCTGGGCAACCACTAATGGGGAAAGTTTTAGGATGGAGAAGATGGCTGTACGTGATACATCCTGAGATTAAATGAACAGGTAATCACCAGGCTGGCACTGAAGTGTGAAATAGATGGATTAAGGAAACTGATTTACTGATTGACTACACTTTAAAGGCATTTGCTGCAGGAGACAGAACTCCGGCACTCTTCCGAATACCGGTCCCAAATTATTCGCTGTGAAAAACATCCCTTTGGGAGCCTCAAGAGGTTATGTAGTAACAACATTTAGGCCCTCATCATCAGTTTCCACTTCTGTGGTTATATCACGAAGGATAGCAATGATTAGACGTTAAGCTAAGCGCAGTAGGGAGGAATAGTTCTCGATCCATTGAAGTAATTTAAAGAAGAATAGATTTTGATCAAATTTTGAAGCTTTGTGGGGAGGGGTAGTTTTCAATGCATTATAGCGATATGGTCATGGGGGGGGGGGGTTAGTTTTCGATCCATTGTTCACGGTAACTGTGACTCGCCTTGTGGGTTCCAGGGCCACATGTTTGAGAAAAAAATAATATGATTTTCGCAGTGAAAAATTTGGGACCGGTATTCGGAAGAGTGCCCAGAACTCCTATGGATATGCCCAGTGTGCTGAAATAAGCAACTGAAGCAAACATTGTTGAGAGAAATGTGCTGGACTGGATTTCATTCATGATATTGAAGTGACTGCACAAGATAGAATGGAATGGAGAAATAGACTGTAAACCCTATGTGACATCAAATAGCACAGCAGGACAATGAATACCAAATGGTTGTTACCTTAACTCCTTATGGCTAAAAAATCAGAACAAAGAAGCAATCAATACTTATGTTAGAAAAAGTTCAACTGAGACACTGTGACAGAAGTTAAGTTTCAGTAGGCACCATTCCATCTTTCCAAATAGTTGAGGTAAAAGGACAAAAAAAAGGACTCAGTGTTATCAAGATTATGACAGCAATGAACATGGAACAATAAATACTGTTCGCTGTGTTCCACATGTGATCCTGTCAGTAAAAGATTATGAACTTAGAATGCTTACCATATCAAACAGCCGGCTGATGAAACCTGAACGCATACATAATGAAGCCATACGGGTAATTCTGGGATGTACAAGAGATATCCCGATAGTAATTATGTGATATATTCTTGCACTGCCTACTATTGAAGATAGGCTCAAAGTTCTCTAAGCATATCTCAGAGTAGCTGCAGACAAATAGCACCTCCTGCATGAAGCCCGAGGTGGAGCTAAGGGTCACCGCCTGAAAAGGGGAAGGTCTTAGATGGTGCATGCTGAAGACAGGTAGACATGTGGGAAGACTTGATGAATTTTTACGAGGAGAGGAGTGTGTCAAAGTGTCCGAGCAAGAATCATTGTTCACTGTTCATTTAAAGATCACCTTCATCGCACATCAGACATGACCATAAGTGCTCCGATCTCCTCCTGAGTATGTCTCCAAGTGCTTTTAGGCTAATAACCTTCCATTCTGTTCTGGTTGCTGTAATGACAGGTGGCTACCATATGGTTTTCCCTTCTTGCTGCTCCAATTGGTATACCCATGGTGAATCAGAATTGTGTAGGGGTTTAATCACTTTAGGCTGTGGGTGCAAGGACTGGCCACTAAAAGAGTCTTTCAGCTCCACCCTTTGATACTTGTTGGTAATATCTGACCTGTCTCCAGTTCCAAGCTCCACCCTTGAGATTGCCTGATATCTTGATATGTGATATCACATGTAGCACGCTGCTGCTGCCGAGAGCATGTGGTGGTCTGCTTTCATGCAAACACCTTACAGCCCCACCTAATCCTAGTGACACCTGTTTCACGGCCCATCTGACTCAAACCTTTCTGTGACAGGTTGTAAACAACAGCCCCTAGCAATTAGATTATTGTAAGACACCTTTGTGTTATAGACAAAACCTACAGCCAAGTGGTCTGTAATTTCAGCTGTATTGGTGCCCCCCTGTCTATGCTGGTCAGCCTTATCTCAGCTTCATGACACCTAAACACCTTACACAGATACTGATTTTAAATTCCATTTCTGATGAAGGCTTTAGAAACTGTGCTGAATTACCTAATCAGGTCTGACGTTTGAGAGGATCTTTGTAGCTAGTTGGACCTTACTGTTTTACAAAACAGTGCAAGTGAACATTCTGGATTCACAGAAAGTGCCACATCATACCCTATATGAAAGTGTAGTAAGGTAAATTTAAGACTTCAAATGTCTCTGAAAATTGTAAGATGCCACTCGTGTAAATCTATTAAATACTCGAAACAGTTAAAAATCCTGGCAACCATTTTCGATGACCCTGCATTTGGCGTTACAGCGTTACTATTCTTTACTTTCATTGTGGAGCCTAGTAACCTCTGGGCTGAAGCTGGATTGAGAGCTAGTAACAAAATCTGGCATGTGTAGATAGATTCATTGGTTCTCCTTGCAATAACAGTCGCTACTTGGACGGCGACGGCCGCTTCGTCGGAGTTCAGTCCCCTGGCTGCAGTGCAATTACGGAGTGGACAAGGCACGAATCACAAAACAAAGTGAGTTCAACATGGCTTCTAGACCACGCGCTGCGACTCACATTAGCGACCGCATTCTTGTAACCCAAACCCTACCCCTAATCCTACCCCTAGCCCTAATTATGTTATTTGTTTCGTTCCCTCTTTTCCACTCCATACTTGCACTCCAGCCAGGTGACTGAACTCCGACGAAGCGGCCGTCGCCGTCCAACTATCGACCGTTATTGCAAGGAGAGCCGATTCATTAATAAATTTGCTTTTGGTTTCAGGGAGTTTTCTTCAGCAAAGAAGTGGTTACTTTCCATGTTTACTGATGCTGTAGCTAGAATTAAGAGTGATCTCTCTTCTAGTTCAAACAAACAGGTCAGTTATTGAAATTAACTCTTTCAGTACTAGGGACTGTGGTGGCATGATGGCTCAAGGCTCGTCTGTTGCCCTGAATGTCTAGGGCAGGGCTATTTAACTGATGGCCCAGGGGCCAAATGTGGCCCTCAGGAGCCTAGCAAATGGCCCGCTGAATACCTGCCAGCTGTTTTGAATTAGTGTTCTTTCTATGCTGGGGCTTGGTCCTCTGCCCCACGACGATCTCCATTTTCCATCATGTTGGCCCCTGAGCAAACTTAGTTGAATGGCCCTGGTCTAGGGTTTGGATTTGCACCAGGCATTTGGTTATCAATTGACCCTGGCTCTCAAGTGAGCCCAGCTTGAAATGGATACCAAGAAATGTTATGCAAAGTGAATGTAGCAGACGTCATGTTGACTACATCACTCATGGAGTGCCAGTTACTCTCTATACCCTATCCTGAAAAGCCACAAACCACCACTTCTGTTAGGGGCCAATTTCCCCCCCTAGATCTGACCTTTCCGATTTGTCTGTAGCAACCTGTTTATTGTAGCAACCTATTGGCTGTGTTTATGCCTGCACACATGTTTGTGAAGTCAGCATGTGAATACGTTAACTAAAAATAGCACTTGGGAAAAAGGCAGAGAAAGGGGTCTTCAAACCAAATGTGGATTTTCAAAAGCCATGTTGATGTCAAATTTGTCTTAAGGTCACAGGAAAAAAAGCAGTCAGATAAGCAGAATAAATACTTTCCAGTATGATAAAACAGGACAGGATGCCATCAGCAAAGTTAGAGGCTACAAAGTAAATACCTCCCACACACAGAGAAAGAAATGGACTCAGCCACCGTGGTGGGATGAAGAGGTTGACAGGGCATGGTTGGAAAAGAGGCAGGCCATCAAAGTGTGGCAGAAGACCAGGAAGAGTAGCACGTCACAGTCTAAGCTCCTGAGTGACCTGAAAGATAAAGTCAGTAAGACAACGATGGCTATCAAGCTGTGCGCAAAGCAGGTCAAGAATGAGAAATGGGACGATTGCTGTAAGAAGGTGGGCTCTGAAGGATTTCTTGCCACTTTTTTACGACTTTATCAGGCTATGAATGGCACCACACAGCGTCAGGGTATCCCAGACTTTTAAAGCAAAGATCTGTCATGGCAGAAATCTGATGCAGATAAAGGACACGCTCTCTTTCAGTGCTAATTGGACCAGACCAACTAGAAAGATAAGGCAACCAGACTGAGAGTTAGGTCAACACTTGTGACAATTTCAGTATGACAACTGAGACCATACGGACAACACTCAGGAAGTCATCCAACACCTCACTAGTCCCGACAGCATCTGATAGGCTGCAGATGTCAGAGGATGATATTGTCAGAACTGGCAGGAGAGTTAAACATCAGCATCAGAAGTGGTCAGATCAGAGAGGAGAGGCTACACAGCTACCTACTACCATTACCACAACCAAATAAAGAACATTCCAAGGTCAGTGGCTACACAGCTACCTACTACCATTACCAAAACCAAATAAAGAACATTCCAAGATCAGTGGCTACAGAATCATTACCATGAAGAACACTACGGGCAAACTTCTGGAGAAAATTGTAGCACCTAGACTCGCTGATGACTTGGAAAAGCATTACAGGCTACCATCCACACTTGGAGGATACAGACAAAACAAAGAGACATGGCACAATGCTGCAGTTTTCGCCTGTAAAGTCTATGAAGGTTTTCAGATGAGAGAAGAGACATGTGCAGCTGCACTAGACTTAGAGGATGCATACAACAGAGTACTGTTTGAATACTTGGTGAACATACTTCTACATCTGCAAGTATCTCCCTCCATCACCCACTGGGTAGCCGCAGCCCTTTTTCAGTGATTGGTGATACTCTTGTGTGGTTGTTGGTACTCAGAACTGATAACCATGAGTCCAGGATTGCCTCAAGGTTCTCCGCTGTCTCCAGTTCTATTCAGTGTGTACACAGTGCTGATAACTGAGCAGCAATTGCACGGGAGTGGCTGGACCTTGTCATTTGCTGATGATGTCTTGGTATACTGACATGGAAGAGATCATCAAGAGATTGCCAATTCAATGCAGAGTGAAGTGAACTTGATCGCATCTCCTCCTGGTGTGTAGATTCTAATGCTCATGTCAATCTTTCGAAGGCCTTAGTAAATCGTTCTCCTTGAACACACAAATAGTGAAGGCAGACTTTCCAGCAGTGGAAAGCAGCGAGGAAATTTTGACGAGAACAAATCTGATGACATACCTTGCGAGTGAGATTTGATCGCAGCCTATCCTTCAAAGAACATGTTGACCATGTCATAACAAAAGCATGCAAAGGCCTGTCAGCAATGAGGGTCCTGGCTGCCTGCTAACACTTGAGCAGAGACTGCTTCTGCTTCTGTTCCAGGGACTTGTACTTTCTCCCATCGAATAGGCTCTTGCCATTCTCACTGTCAGCCATACTCAGATTAAAAGACTTGAGAAGGTGCAAAATGAAGCAATGCGTATTATTCTAGGGTGCACAAGATATGCTCAGATCTGAAGCACTCTTTGCATCACATGCTCTTCAGGGTAAAAAGCAATAGACTTAAAAGGTGCAAATCATAGCTGGGTAGGGCAGAGGATGACTTTATGCAGGTCTGCAGCCTTACAGATATCCGTCCAGGTGAGGAATGGAAACCAGCATCTAGAGCACCCAATCTCACATTCTCCTGCGTCGTGACGCTCGATAGGAGTTGTCAGGAGCAGAATCCCGCTGCTGTCAACATTGAGGTATGTGCTTATCAGTGACAAGTCAGATGAGACCGATGTGCTGATCTTCACAGACAGGTCCGTTATACGAATACATAAAAGTGCATGGACATTTACAGCTTGCTCTTCAGGCAGAACAGTTCAAGAAGCCAGCGGGGCCTTCTCCATGACTACCAGCAGCATGTCGATGGAGGTGATGGTGGTGACACAAGCTTTCATGTGGCTAGAATCACAGAATTATTGCCATGTGTGTGTGTGCTGAGTGACTCTTTGAGCATCCTCTGGCGGGTCGAGGCAGGCTGGTTACGCAGACAGTAGACTGAGTCATTGCAAAACTCTCCTATATGTGCAGTTTACCTTTATATTTGTCCCAGGGTATGCAGGTATTGTTGGTAATGAAAGAGCTGATAGACTGGCAGGTGCCGCATTAATTGAAGATGGCAGGCCCATGGATCATGCACATATTGTCAGTGCCCTTAAAGAGATAGGACATTCCTAGGATTTTGGAAGCAACAAATGTCCACATGACTGCTAAGAATACAAGAATTGGGAGTAAAGATCGGCACAGCCAAGCATGAGAAAGAAGCACATTGGATGCACACAAAGTCTTGTCAGTTAACATAGGACTGGCACTATTAACCGCGCAACGCTGATAAATATGTTGAGGGGGGAATTTGAGCACCTATGGATGTGTCCAGACTGCTGTGAAGATAATCCAACTCATTACTTGTAACTTTGCCCTTTTCTTTGCCCTTTACTGTGTATGAGTGTTATGTATGTATAGGTGTGTGTATATATGCATAAGTATATATCATTGTGTGTGTGTGTAATAGCATATGTATGCATGTGCATGTATGATTATGTATGTATCTGTAAATGTAATAATCTGAGTGAATGATTGTGTGTGTGTGTGTGTCTGTATGAGTTAATGAGTGTGGGTATATATGCACACATGAATATGTGTGTATACTATGTATTAGTCTGAGTGAATGATTGTATGTGTCTGTATGAGTGAATATGTGTATATATATATATATATATAAGTATAGGTGTATGTTTGTGTGATATGTATGAATGTTTTTTATATATGTTTGCATGTCTATGTATACATGTTTTTGTGTGTGTGCGTGCGCACATGCATTTGCCATCCACACCGTTATGTTTTTACTTATTAATCAAATGATGTGTTCCTGTATAAATATAACATGCTTTATCTGTCTGAGAGAGAGAGAGAGATGCATGACAGGGCAGTATGTAACATGGTCCTACCTCCCCAGTTTGTAACCCTTTGAAAAAAATGTTTATCATTCATTTATTTCTCTCACTCACTCACTCACTCACTCACTCACTCACTCACTCACTCACTCACTCACTCACTCACTCACTCACTCACTCACTCACTCACTCACTCACTCACTCACTCACTCACAGAACCTTGTACAGGTGTTATTGGCTACTGTGGATAAAGAGTTTGCCCCCAACTGGAGTCTTCTTTTGTTATGGGCCTCTTTGGCTAATGCCATACCTGTAAGTAACATTTTGCCTATTGCATTTCTTTGTTCAGCTTCTGTTCTCAGCACTCTTCTTTACAGCAGTGAAACTTGGCCAGCTTATTAATACCAGGTGCAATGAAGAATGCTTAGCATTTTATTAGAAGACATGATCACTTGGGGTATTGGAAAGAGCAAGTATCACAACAATTTTCTCAGTTTTTCCAGACCACAAGTAAAAGTAAAGAGTAAAGATCCCTTTACACGCCCTTAGGCGAATCGGGCATATGGGAAGAGCACCCATATTTTTACAGACCACTCGGCACTCGGTGGGTAATGTGGTCAGCATTACGCCGGCCGTCTTTACTTTCCCAGGACAGCCCATCCTGGTACCCATTTGAGGCTGGGTCGACCTGCGACGTCCCATACCACGATAAAAAATGGCTCCTTTCATCAAATGGTACACTTCTATGGATTTTTCAAAGAATGCTGAGAATATAGTGGAATGATAAACTAATCTGGCCTTCTCAAGACAGATGAAAAGTAAACATTTTAGAGAAATTTGACGTAAACAGTTTTGTTTTTCTTTCTAGCATGTTATGAGAAAAAATCGACTCGATAATTTGGGTACAGCTAGCAAGATTGATGGGAAAAGGAGCAAGGTAAAAACAGAGATAAATTCCTGGATGGGTTGACCTTATGGATGGAGAGGGTGGGGCGGGGAATGAAACGGAGCATTGAACTTATCCTAGTAATCATGTGAGATGGCAAAATTTGACCATTTACTTTTTTTTCTTCCTTTTCGAACTTAACTCTATACATATACCTTACAGCTGGTCATTTATGACTTTAATAATCCACTTCCTTGGTAGATTATGTTTCCTTGGTTAAAATCTGTCTGTGAAGTAAATCTTACACACGCTGTCTGACAATTAAATAATAAGACAGATTTTATTATGGGTAAGGGAATTTTATTTTGTTAATGACAGAGTTGATTTTATTATAGTCAAGTGAAGTCAACCATGCCCTCCATAAAGCAGATAGTGGCAACCAAATCAGCAGCATGCATCTATGAACTGGCAGACTTGCAATACTACCTGGCTGGCAGACAAGTAACCAGCCATTTTGTTTAGCTAGTGAGAGATGTATGGTTACATATGCAAAATTGAGCAAACAAGTGAACATTCAGTTTTGTTTTAAGTTCGGGAAAAAGTATTGCTGAAACAGGCATTGAATTAATGAGACAAGTTTGTGGGAAAAAATCTTTCTATCATTAAGAGATATCCAGGTGGTATTCAGATGTCCATTTTGTTTTTTTTTGGGGTAGTGATGAGCCAAATTCAAAGAATGGATAAACAGAGTATGCTGTCTAACTGTAAAGTCGATGGCAGATGATGTTAACAGAGAGATGATCCATTAAATTTTAGTGGATATTTAACAAAAAAGAAGAAGAGGGACAATAAAGAAAAGAAGAGTCGAAGGAAGGGAAAGTAGAAAAACAGGAGAGGAGGAGGGGAAAAAAAGGATAGTCACAGTGGTATTAAAAGAAATGTGTTTTATTTACTTTTACTTGTTTTAATTGTTTTTTAAGACATAGTTTGGCTTCTCAGATTACATTCTGGACAATAGCTCTCATCTACAGTCATCCAGAAATCCTGGCCAAAATTCGAGCAGAAATGGCTTGTGTGCTTATGGCTGACAGAGCAGGTTAGTTAACTTATTCAGTCTTTTCTTATTCTTCATTTGAAATGAAAGGACATGCTTGCTTTGTCTGGGAGGGCTAACCCTCGGAACATTGCCTGAAGATGTCTGATGTCTCGACTGAATTGCACAGATGTTGCAGCAATGCTGTAAATGAGCACATTGTAGTTGCTGCATCCTCAGATGAATTCAGAGGAATGAGAAGAAGAATGTTGCTTTGTATCTTTTGACTATGAATTGTCATGTAGGAGCTTTTGGGGAACACATCTAACTTCTTCAAGCTGCTTGCCACGCGCTCCGAAGGTTGTGGGTTCATTTCACGGCTGCACCCTTCAGTTCACAAGTGGAATTTTTACGAACATCCCTGGAGATCATCTCCAGAGCTATGGAGTTCGCGTTCTGTGTGATGCTCTCGCCAGGCGGCTAGCCATTCTGCAGAGGCAGACCGAGCCATATGGGATAAAACCTGGCCTAATGAAATCGATCCTCTTGACTTTAATTTTATCTTTTAACTATGAATTGTCATGTAGGAGTTTTTAGTCAATACATCTAACTTCTCTAATTCTTTTTATTTTTTGTGTGGGGAAGGGGGGGGGGGGTGTTGGGAATTACAGTTGCCTTCTCTTGTTGTCTTTACTCATAAAGCTAGAATGTATAATTGGTGAGTTCATTTTTATCACTATAGCTGGAAACAGCCTATTTCCTCATTTACAGCTTGAAGGCTTGGAATGCAGCCTATTTCTTTATCCAGTCTGTAAAATCAGCCCATTTCTACACCCACAACGTAGAATCAGCCCATTTATACACCCACAACTTAGAATCAGCCCATTTATACACCATCTTATGATCAGCTCATTTCTAGACCCCTAGTTTAGAAACAACCTATTTTTTACACCCAGTTTATTTCATCATCCACAACTTATATCATTAAAAAACTGGCTTACCACGGGCAAGCAAATGAAAGATCATAATTTTGAAATTCCTCAACTTACTGTTTTCTTTTCAATAATTTTGTTGTATTTTAATTTTATTGCCTGTTTTCATACTGTTGCATCTTTATGGTAGAACTGAGTTACTGCTATAAGAACTATTATTGTATTGATTTTTAAAAGCTGGCTTTTGATCTTCAGTTTCAGAAACCAACTTTGTTCAGCTGTCATATCTGAAGCAGTGTGTACTTGAAGCTATTCGCCTGCATTCACCAGGTATAATTAGCCGTCGGGTAGTTCAAGAGGTCACAGTTCAGGGTTACACTATTCCACCAGGTGATCTGCTGATGGTATCACCATACTGGGCACACAGGGACCCTGAATCTTTTCCTGAACCTCAAATTTTCAAGCCAGTGAGTGTATGCATGTAATAGAATAGTTGACAGATCATACTAAATGCAAATGTAACCTCTTACTGAGCACACAAGAACCCTGAATTGTTTCCTGATCCTCACATTTTTAAGCCAAGAGTTTGAATATGGAATAGTTAGTTCTTCATCTTCACTGCAGATATAACCTTAGTGAAGACCCAAGAGCCCTGAATCTGCTCCTGATCTTCATAGTTTGGAAAAGTATCAAACTGCACCAAAAGGTACCAGATTTGTAATATTTAATTTAAAAAAATCCATTAAAATATCTTTAAACAACATACAACATGCACAAGCACCAACACGTGTGTGCACACACACACATATAAAAATACGAGGGGAATTTAATAAGTAAGTCACAAACGGTTAGGGATGGCAGGAAAATGTAGTTGGTGGTTTCTAAAGGTGTCATTAGGTGACAGCAACATCGAACTTTATGTCTACATTCGTTAATTGGTACTAGGTTTTGCATGCGCATTCGCAACACAGAGGCAAAATGGCATCTGTACTTACGGAGTGCACCCTCAAAGAACAATGTGCTGTTATGCATTGGGGGGAGGGGGGGGGGGGGCAAAAGGGCTGCCTGCAAAGGACATTTATAACAAAATGCTTCTTGTTTATGCTGATAAATGTTTATCCTGTAAAGCGGTGAATAGCTAGGTTTAAAAAAAAAAAATTCTCCATGGTGTTCTAAAATTGTTGATGGTCCGATCTGGTTGTCCTGTTGAGATTGCAACAGACACATCTGTGCAGGGGTGGAGGTGATGATTAGAGGTGACAAGCGAGTAACGGTTGACTCTGTAGCAGCTGCAATAAGGTGCTGACATGGTTCAGCATACAACATAATGCATGATCGATTTACATTTTTGGTCGACTGAAAACCCACTTTGGCGGGAGACATTTGACATTTGACACAGAAGTTGAATGTGAAGTGAAAATGTTTTGAAAACAGAGCAGGCAGTTCTATGCAGCAGGTTTGGGAGGACTGTTAAGACAATGGAACAAGTGCATCAGTATTGGAAAAAAATTATGTTGAAAAATAAATATATTTTAATTTTTAAAATATTGATGCATAATTTCCAAAATATACCAAAGCTTTGGGTGTGTTACAGAAAGTACAGTTTTGCTGGGCGAGGGTCAAATAGAACATTTTTATAAATGTGCCAACTTCAGCAGCCCTGCACACAATCACTGTCATAATTTTCACTCAGTCGCTCACACTCACATACGTCCACACATCCACGCACATAAGCATGACTTTTCAGGATGTGAGTTGTAGATCTCTTAAGATTATGGACAAATGTTTTTTGCTTATTTGACACATTCTAATGGCAAAGAAAAGCGTGACAAGAGAGATTTAGTTATAATATGTGGAGAGATGTCAATGCCTAAACAAACCTGTATGGGTTCCAAGGCCCCATTTTAGGGTGGGCTTGAAGAATAAACCAACTTCTCCCTTAATAAGCATGTCCTAAGAGGCAGCAAACTGAGCACATGCTGAGATAAGATATGCTGGGTTGAAAGGTGCAGATATCACAGCCTAGCTGTGTAAAACAACACACTGTGTCAATCCTGCTCTGAAGGACAAATGCAGAAGAAGAATAAATGTCTATGCTATTTGGCAAAGAGTTTTTTTTATATTGTCTCTTCTTGGTAGATTAGAATAGAAACATTAACATTTTTTTTTTTTATATTGTCACTTCAAGAAAGGTGGAGTGGAATGGAGAACCAAAAAAATACACAATTTATTTTGGTTGCTGTTACTTCGAGGAAAGGTGGAGTGGAATGGGGGACCCAAAAAAATACACAATTTATTTTTGTTGCTGTTACTTCTAGGAAAGGTGGAGTGGAATGGAAAAAAATGTGTTTCCTGAAGAGTTCTTAGCATTTGGAGGTGGCAGGTACCAGTGCCCTGGCAGGTGAAGTTCATGAATTTTGTCTTTTTATATAATTTATTGATGCATGCTATGTGCCATTGGTAGTCTTGTCTATCCACAACCTTCTGTCTCTTGTAATTTCAATCAAATCTGACACAGATGATCTTCCATAGTTCATATTGTGTGGAGCTGGCAGTCAAGATTATCTGTTATTTTTTCTTGTGTATTTTCAATCATTTCTGACACAGATGAGCTTCCATAGTTCATGCCATGTGGCGTTGGTAGTCTTGTCTATCACAACTTGCTGACAGGTATACTTTCAACTGATTCTGACACAGATGGTCTTACATAATCAGTGCTTTATGGCATTGGTAATCATGCCTGTCCCCAACCTTTTGTCTTCTGACCCAGATTATATACCATAGTCCATGTCATATGACATTGGTATTCATTTATATTCACAGCCTTCTCTCTCATGTGCTGTAAGTCAGTTCTGACACAGATGACTGTCCATGCCATATGTCTGACTGTCTAGCCTCTTCTTTCTCTGTCTTCCTCTGCCTCTCTTTCCTTTCAGCTTTCCCAACATCATGATGTACTTGTTTTCTTATTATCAAAACAGGACTAAAGAATGTAGATTGTCTTCTTCTGAGGTGGATAATCAGATCTGTTCGTGAGTCACTTTGGGGACTTCATTACTCCTTTTACTTTTTATCTGTCCAGGGTGTTCTTATCATGTATTTCCTAAGCCCCATCACCACTTGCACATAATTTTTCAATAATTGGCCAACTGTCCACTGATTTACTTCTGAATATCAGGATAGTATTTATATAGCTCTTGCGAATCTTGTTTCTCACCTCAGTTGACAAAAGCAGATTGCATCGAATATTATATTTGTATTACACATAGAAAATTAAAACATCTTTATTAATTTAAGTTTCTCTATGTGGGTGAGATGTACTTCTGAGGGTGTTGGTAAATGTAACATTTATTATCAGAGGTACTTTATGAGCACCCAATTCATTTGTTACTATTTGATTTATGTGTTCTTTTATTTGTTGTTACAGATGGTTTGCATTGATGGAGATTCATTTATATGTTGCAGTATTTGTCAGCATGTTTGATTGTCAACTGCTGAATGGAATTCCGGATGTGGTAAGCATTGAAAATTAATATGCCTGCTGTTTTCCATGGTTATTCACCAGAGAAAATAAAGTAAAAACTATTATCCAAAAAGTAGGTAAAAGTAAAGTAATCAATGTAATTAAAAAAAAAAAAAAAAGCAATCACAAATAGAGTTGGTAAAACTAAATGAATGAAGGCAAATGGTAAAAAAAAAAACTATAATTTGAAAATGATGTAGGTAAAAGTAAAAGGTAAAGGTGAAACACTATAATTTGAAAATGATGTAGGTAAAAGTAAAAGAGTAAAGGTGAAGGAAACACTATAATTTGAAAATGATGTAGGTAAAAGTAAAAGAATAAAGGTGAAGGAAACACTATAATTTGAAAATGATGTAGGTAAAAGTAAAAGAATAAAGGTGAAGGAAACACTATAATTTGAAAATGATGTAGGTAAAGTAAAAGAATAAAGGTGAAGGAAACACTATAATTTGAAAATGATGTAGGTAAAAGTAAAAGAATAAAGGTGAAGGAAACACTATAATTTGAAAATGATGTAGGTAAAAGTAAAAGAATAAAGGTGAAGGAAACACTATAATTTGAAAATGATGTAGGTAAAAGTAAAAGAGTAAAGGTGAAGGAAACACTATAATTTGAAAATGATATAGATAAAAGTAAAAGAGTAAAGGTGAAGGAAACACTATAATTTGAAAATGATATAGATAAAAGTAAAAGAGTAAAGGTGAAGGAAACACTATAATTTGAAAATGATATAGATAAAAGTAAAAGAGTAAAGGTGAAGGAAACACTATAATTTGAAAATGATATAGATAAAAAGTAAAAAGAGTAAAGGTGAAGGAAACACTATAATTTGAAAATGATATAGATAAAAGTAAAAGAGTAAAGGTGAAGGAAACACTATAATTTGAAAATGATATAGATAAAAGTAAAAGAGTAAAGGTGAAGGAAACACTATAATTTTGAAATGATATAGATAAAAGTAAAAGAGTAAAGGTGAAGGAAACACTATAATTTGAAAATGATATAGATAAAAGTAAAAGAGTAAAGGTGAAGGAAACACTATAATTTGAAAATGATATAGATAAAAGTAAAAAGAGTAAAGGTGAAGGAAACACTATAAAGATAAAAGTAAAAGAGTAAAGGTGAAGGAAACACTATAATTTGAAATGATATAGATAAAAGTAAAAGAGTAAAGGTGAAGGAAACACTATAATTTGAAAATGATATAGATAAAAGTAAAAGAGTAAAGGTGAAGGAAACACTATAATTTGAAAATGATATAGATAAAAGTAAAAGAGTAAAGGTGAAGGAAACACTATAATTTGAAAATGATATAGATAAAAGTAAAAGAGTAAAGGTGAAGGAAAACTATACTGTAATGATTGATAAAAAAAGAATAGATAAAAGTAAAAGTAAAGAGTAAAGGTGAAGGAAACACTGGTGAAGGAAAACACTATAATTTGAAAATGATATAGATAAAAGTAAAAGAGTAAAGGTGAAGGAAACACTATAATTTGAAAATGATATAGATAAAAGTAAAAGAGTAAAGGTAAGGAAACACTATAATTTGAAAATGATGTAGGTAAAAGTAAAAGAGTAAAGGTGAAGGAAACACTATAATTTGAAAATGATGTAGGTAAAAGTAAAAGAGTAAAGGTGAAGGAAACACTATAATTTGAAAATGATGTAGGTAAAAGTAGAAGAGTAAAGGTGAAGGAAACACTATAATTTGAAAATAATGTAGGTAAAAGTAAAAGAGTAAAGGTGAAGGAAACACTATAATTTGAAAATGATATAGATAAAAGTAAAAGAGTAAAGGTGAAGGAAACACTATAATTTGAAAATGATGTAGGTAAAAGTAAAAGAGTAAAGGTGAAGGAAACACTATAATTTGAAAATGATGTAGGTAAAAGTAAAAGAGTAAAGGTGAAGGAAACACTATAATTTGAAAATGATGTAGGTAAAAGTAAAAGAGTAAAGGTGAAGGAAACACTATAATTTGAAAACAGAGAAGGTAAAAGTGACTCCATAAATTGAAAACAGTGTAGGTAAAAGTGACATGTTTGTTAAGGAGCATGTATCTATTATTTTTTCCGCCACAGTGGGGGTCCTGGAACCCACATGGTGAATTCTTGTTCTAATTTCTGCTTTATGGCATCTCGCATCAGATGTTGTAACAACCTTGGAGTGGGCAGTCCAGTTTATTTGTTTCTGTATGACTTCTGTATTGTTTTCTTTTTGTGACAGTGGATGGGAATTATCTTGGTATGGCAACATTAGCCTGGACCCTTAACCAGCTCACACCAAGTCGTTCTATCCTTCGTTATCACATGCAGCTTTCCCCATGTCCTCCCTGTTTATTTTAACTTCACTATCTAGCTCCCTTCTCCGTCTGTTTTTGTGTGTGGGTCTTTCTATATTTATATGCCCCTCTGGGTTCAATTGCAAAGACATTCTAGTTATACTATTCATTGCTGTGGAGACTGAGTATCTACTGAGATAATTGGGCATCTGTGGGGTGCCTTTTGCTTTTAGCAAGAGTATCACAGAGTCATTCACTCACTTATCCTGACAACCGCTTGTCTTTATAAGTTTTGTCAGTTTCACTCCCTGTCCATCATTCTCTATTTCTATTCATATCTTCCCTTTTCTCTGTCTTTCTTTCTTGGCCTTTTTTCTCTTTTTTTCTGTCTACATTTTCTCTTTTTATCTGCTTTTCTCTTTCTCTGTCTCTGTCATTTTCTGTTTCTCTCTACCTTTCTCTTTCTTTCTTTACCATTTTTCACTCTCTGTCTTCCCCTCTTGGTCTCTACCTTTCTCATCTCTCTGTACCTTTTCCTCTCTTTGTCTCTACCTTTCCTGTCTCTTTCTATCTTTCTCTTTCTCTCTATTTGCCATGTTATTTACATCTCTGCCTTTCACTTCTATCTCATCTCTATACCATTTAATTTTCTCTCTCAGCCTTTCTCATTATCTTTTTCTTCTGTCTCTACCTATATCATTGCGTTCTCTCTTTTTCTGTCTCTCTCTGTCTCTCTCTCTCTCTCTCTCTCTCTCTCTACCTTTCTCTTTTTCTCAATACTTTTTCTTCTCTCTTTACTTTGGCAAACTACAATTACAAACATAAATTTGTTCTTAATTTTCATTGTGCATTCATTTCAGTGCACACTTCATGTTGTCGGGACACAGCAACCAGTGCACCCATGTCCAGTATTGTTAGTGAACCGTCTGAGTCTGTAGAGAGCTGATGTCTGCTGACCTTTCCACAATCACCACCAGTTGGTCCCAGACAGCAGGAGATAACATGGCATCTCAATGCATGTACTGTCAGACAAAAACTCTTCATTACTTCACAGTTATCACTGTCTAGCATGAATACCATCAAACATAAACACACAGGTATCTTACAGTTAACATCATCACTAGTGAACCACTGTCTCACAGTTAACACTATCATTAGCAAAAAACTGTATCAGAGTTAACACCATCATTAGCAACAACTGTCTCACAGTTAACACCATCATTAGTAAAAAACTGTATCAGAGTTAACACCATCATTAGCAAACAACATAGTTAACACACAGTTAACACCATCATGAGCAAACAGCTGTCTTAACACCATTGTTAGCAAACAACTATTTCACACTTAACACCATCATTAGCAAACAACTGTCTCAAAGTTAACACCATCATAGCAAACAACTATTTCACACTTAACACCATCATTAGCAAACAACTGTCTCAAAGTTAACACCATCATTAGCAAACAACTGTCTCAAAGTTAACACCATCATTAGCAAACAACTGTCTCAAAGTTAACATCATCATTAGCAAACAACTGTCTCAAAGTTAACACCATCATTAGCAAACAACTGTCTCAAAGTTAACACCGTCATTAGCAAACAACTGTCTCACAGTTAACATGAACATGCTTGAACTCACAATTATCTCACAATTAGTACTATCATTAAAACTTTAAAATGTCACAGTTCACACCATCAAACATGAACACCTAACTACCTGACAATTAACACTATCAAAACTGAACACCATCAAACATGAACACCTAACTGCCTAACAATTAACACTATCAAAACTGAACACCATCAAACATGAACACCTAACTACCTGACAATTAACACTATCAAAACTGAACACCATCAAACATGAACACCTAACTACCTGACAAATAACACTATCAAAACTGAACACCATCAAACATGAACATCTAACTACCGGACAATTAACACTATCAAAACTGAACACCATCAAACATGAACATCTAACTACCGGACAATTAACACTATCAAAACTGAACACCATCAAAAATGAACATCTAACTACCGGACAATTAACACTATCAAAACTGAACACCATCAAACATGAACATCTAAGTACTGGACAATTAACACTATCAAAACTGAACACCATCAAACATGAACATCTAACTACCGGACAATTAACACTATCAAAACTGAACACCATCAAACATGAACATCTAACTACCGGACAATTAACACTATCAAAACTGAACACCATCAAACATGAACATCTAACTACCGGACAATTAACACTATCAAAACTGAACACCATCAAACATGAACATCTAACTACCGGACAATTAACACTATCAAAACTGAACACCATCAAACATGAACACCCAACTGTCTCACAGTTTACACCATCAGACTGAGAGACAGACTGGTAAAGGGGGGGGGGGGGGGGGGGGGGGAAGAAAAGAGAGAAAGAGAGAAAACAACCCAGAAACATTACAGTTCTTAAATCTTTTATTAGACCTGTGTTATCAGTTAATTTGACTTCATGGAGTAATGTAAAATCAGAAATAAGTTTTCATTAATATATAATTATGTACATGAGTGAAAACAAGGACTGAAATACTTGTAAATTATGTTCACAGAAGATTCAACATAAACGGCAGTTTGACAATCATTTTCTAAGGTGCAAATTGACTTGCTTGAGCACTTTTTCATTATGTGCAAAATTGTGAGTTAAATTGTTAAATGGCCCATTTAGTTTCTTGAAGTGTTTTTGTTAATTTTATATGAAATTCATAAAACATTGTTTTGTTGTAAATTTGAGGTCATATTATTATTATCCTATGTAAGTTAGATTATGTCTACCTAGGTGCTAAATTTGGGGTTTTATGTTTATTATGTATTTGTGTGTGTGTGTGTGTGTGTGTGTGTGTATGTATAGGTGTTAAAGGTCACATTTTTATTGTGCTCACTTGCATATGTGCCCTGTGTATCAGTGCATGTGTGTATTTGTCTGAGGGTGTATGTATGCATGTATGTGTCTGTGTCTATATGAGCATGTAAGAGTGCATGTTTCCCTATATATTTGAGTATGTATAATTGTTTATGTGATGTATGTGTGCATTATTTAATTATGTGTTAGTTAGTCGACAGGTTATCTTTATTACATTTCAAACCATTCAGTTTATAAATTCTCAGATCACATCCTCAGTAAATCTCACAGTGGATAGTGGCTGATGACACCAGTTTTGTGTTGGTTTCTTATTCTTCTTTGGCTTCCTGCATAGTTCTTGCCTGGCCACACCGCCTTTAACTCTTTGAGGCCTGATCAACACTGTATATGTTGATTGAAAAGTTCCGATTTGCCCAAACAACACTGTCAGGGTCGATTTTGTGTCCCGTAATATTGATTCGCATACGGTTTGGTATTCGTTTCTCATGTTCAGGACTGTCATTAAAGTATTCATTGCTAGTGTCATTTTCAGACAGTGCATTTTCTGATTTCATGTTCACCCATAGATACCAATGTTCTGAACACAAGCACAGGGCCAACAAATGTGCTTTTCTGTGGTTGAAGCTCTGAAATTGTTTCAGTCAGACGTATTCTAATTCTGATAATGATAATGACAAATTTAAATTTATTGGAAAATGATTCAGACGATGAATTTACACAAGCGGCAACTGAGCAGTCAGCTGTTTGTTCTGATGAGGTAAACCCATTAGGACCCATTTCATTTGTCAAGGATGTGATAGTCACCCACATCCGAGTCTAAAGGACTGTTTCAGACAGTACCTACCATATTCATACTGGCTAAGCTGCATTGAAATCATTGCAGCTACAATCTGTCTAGAACTATAAAGTTTATATTTTGTGTGTATAGGTCCAGTTTTCTGCTATTTGTTTTGTTGTAAATTTTGTTCAGCACGCTGTGAGAACCTAGAGCCTTTGAGCGATAAACTAACCCAGAAACTTATCATAACTTTTGAATTTGTTAGGAAACTGAACCTTAAAATCTTATCCTCAGATTTGGATATTTGCTGATCATGTGGCTGCAAAACCATGGTAAATGAAAATTTTGACTTTTTAAACATAACACCTGCTGAATATTTTTGTTTCCTCCTAGCTCTAACAGTATGAAATGAAAACATATCATCAGATTCAAAGTGTGCATTCATTCCTCTTTGGAAAAAAATATGTATATGTATGTATATATATGTTTGTGTGTGTGTGTGTGTAAAGATTAGCCATTTTTGTAAAGGGGAATTAATGTGAGCCAAGTTCTATGAAAATGTATGGGCCTGAAAGAGTTGTTCTGGCAGTCTGGTCATGGCTACATATTCAGTCATCACTTGATTTCACAAATGTCTCACTTTTTGTAGAGCTTTCAGAATATCAGCATGGTCCATGGCTCGTCCGCCCACCACAGTAGCTTTGCCTGCAAGCCTATCAGCCTGCTCATTGCCTTGCATGCCTGCAAGCCTATCGGCTTGCTCATTGCCCTGCATGCCTGCATGCCTATCAGCTTGCTCATTGCCTTGCATGCCTGCATGCCTATCAGCCTGCTCATTGCCTTGCATGCCTATCAGCTTGCTCATTGCCTTGCATGCCTGCAAGCCTATCAGCCTGCTCATTGCCTTGCATGCCTGCATGCCTATCAGCCTGCTCATTGCCTTGCATGCCTGCAAGCCTATCAGCCTGCTCATTGCCTTGCATGCCTGCATGCCTATCAGCCTGCTCATTGCCTTGCATGCCTGTATGCCTATCAGCCTGCTCATTGCCTTGCATGCCTGTATGCCTATCAGCCTGCTCATTGCCTTGCATGCCTGTATGCCTATCAGCCTGCTCATTGCCTTGCATGCCTGCATGCCTATCAGCCTGCTCATTGCCTTGCATGCCTGCATGCCTATCAGCTTGCTCATTGCCTTGCATGCCTGCATGCCTATCAGCCTGCTCATTGCCTTGCATGCCTGCATGCCTATCAGCTTGCTCATTGCCCTGCATGCCTATCAGCTTGCTCATTGCCTTGCATGCCTGCATGCCTATCAGCCTGCTCATTGCCTTGCATGCCTGCATGCCTATCAGCTTGCTCATTGCCCTGCATGCCTATCAGCTTGCTCATTGCCCTGCATGCCTATCAGCCTGCTCATTGCCTTGCATGCCTGCATGCCTATCAGCTTGCTCATTGCCCTGCATGCCTATCAGCTTGCTCATTGCCCTGCATGCCTATCAGCCTGCTCATTGCCTTGCATGCCTTTCAGCCAGCTCATTGCCTTGCATGCCTGTGTGTCCTGGCAGGAATATGAAATTGATGTTTATCAGCCTTGACCGCCTCAGAGACTCCAGCCACTGTCTTCTGACCCAGCCCATCTCTGTTTTCCTGCGCATACTCATTGAGTTACAGAGATATATACATTGTGTATCTTTTTGTATAAAAATAGCGTAAATGATAATCCATAAGTAGAGTGCTGGGAACGGTAGAATGTAAGATGGGCCTGCGTGCCCAATGTGTAACACGTTGAAAATAAAGTTTGTTCATTCATTCAAAAATAGTGAATTTAAAATGTAAACATTTGTGTTATTGAAACGTGCTGAAGTGACAACTACCTGGGACTACAAGAGTTAACAGTGTTGTGAGCTGAGTCTACTCTAGAGCTGCAGACGGTCAGAAAGACATTCCCCTGGAAATAGGAACTGAAAACGGACCCCTGCGTTGGCATGTCAGAGGGCTATCTTTCAGGAAACCACAAACCTGTAATAAAAAAAAAAATATGTGATCCTATAGAAGACAATATTTTTTTAGCATCAAATGTCAAAAATGTATTAAATGCCATTTTTTATTTTTTGTATTTGTTTTTAAACATTAGATACCCAACTCTCTTAGGTTGTCACATGTTTTTCTATCTCCTTCTTCTTCTTCACTTCCATCTTTTACAGCATCAGGTGTCATCAGAGATATAAGGTTG